GGGCGAGACGGGCAAGTGCCTCGTGGGCGCTTGCGCCTTTGGGAAGGCCATGTGCGCATACACTCCCCCTTTCCTTGTATTCGACTGCTGGGGGATTCGCTCCGTTGATTGTGAGAGGTAGCGATTTAGCAGAGCTCCCGCTTTCGTCGATGATTTCCCACACCTTTTTTTTTTTTTTTTTTTTTGGAGAGAGAGAGAGAGAGGTACGTAGTTCCGAGGTACATGAAATGTACGTGCTTTACCTTGCATAGCATTGAGAAGCTAGTGCGTAGGGGAGAGACAGAAAGACGAGACGGGCAGCCAAGCAAGGTAGCTAGCTAGACACATGACTTCACCTCACCGTGGTGACCTGCAACTCAATGGTCTCCGTCTCCCTCACCAAGGTATCCAGATAGCTCGAGACCGAGAGAAGCGGACTTGGCGCAGGCCATGCCAGGCCATTGCTGAACCTTGGCCTTACCGTGCCGTTGCCGATGCCGTTCGTTACCTGTGGCGCGCTTGTCAGCTCCCGTCTTGAAAGCGTCTTGATTGTTGTCTGTCTTGCCTTGCCTCGCCTCAACTCGTCTCGTCTCGTCCCGCCTCGCCTCTCATCCGTTACGTTGCGCCTTGGCCTCAGCATTATTTATGACTAAAGCCCGAGCAAAGACAAACTTCCCCCATGACACTCTCCCCGCCAAATCCCATCAACCAAACCTGAGCTACATATACGTGGTACCTTGTATACTTGCGTGTGCCGGGGTGGAGAGGGATGTCAAGGGAAAGAGTTGCTGTGGATGGGTACATGGGGCATTGGGGAGGAAGGGGGAGGAGTCGCTGGTCTTAGTCCTCAGCAGCTTTATCCACTCCTTCTCCCATCCTGAAATCCAACCCTTCCCTTCCCCATATTAAGGCCTCGAGGATCCCCTCGCATTGACCTTGTCACTTCTTCTGTCCTTCCTTCTTTATTCCCCTTTCCTCCCAGCTCTTGTCGTGCTGCTCTTCTCCCTTCTTCGACTACCCTTCTGCGGAACGGAACTTTGCCTTGAAGCTTGCCTTTCGCCGACTCCTCTCTGTGTAGTCTCCTCTCTCAACCTCTTCGGCCAGTTCCACATACCAGTCCTGCCACGGTCGAGCCGACGTCAGTCTACATCACCAGACATAGCTGTGTGTTGAGCGCTGCAACTGTCGCGTGCTGAGATACCGTTCTCTCACAAGAGCTCCCCGCCTCATTTGCTACCACCGTAGCACACCCGCGACTCAGCAAAACCCCAACAACACCCAAGCAAACAGCGGGACCGCTCACTGCCTTTTTTCGAACCGGCGCCCCATCCAATTGGTCAATCCACCCCCACCATGGCCGGCGTCACCGTGCTCGGCGAGCTTCCGCCCGCCTCTCTCTTCACGTTCCCGCCCAACGGCGCGCATATGGCCATCCCCCGCCTCTGCCCGGATCCATCGCCGCCGCGCCCCCTGTCGAGATCCCTGACCACATCTTCTCTGGCGCCCTCGATCCCCGCGTGCCCATCACCATCGCCGCCCTCTACGCCGTCACCGTCAAGCTGCTGAACAAGTACAACAAGTCGACCAAGAACCAGCCGTGGGGCATCAGCAAGACCAAGCCCTTCTTCGCCTTTGTCGTCCTGCACAATGTCTTCCTCGCCGTCTACTCGGCCTGGACCTTCTGGGGCATGCTGGGCGGCATGCGCAGGAGCGTCGTGAGCCCCTTTGGCCCCAACGGCCTGGCTGCCACCGCCGACAGCTTCTGCCAGCTCAACGGCAACGGCGGCTTCGGCGCCGCCACCGTCTACAACGAGACCGTCGGCTACTGGTCGAGCCTGACCGGCAACTCTGCCCTCGGCTTCGACGGACGCCCGAGCCGCACTGCCACCGGCAGGATCTGGAACGAGGGCCTCGCCTTCTACGGCTGGATCTTCTACCTGAGCAAGTTCTACGAGGTCCTCGACACCTTCATCATCCTCGCCAAGGGCAAGCTCAGCTCCACCCTCCAGACCTACCACCACGCCGGCGCCATGATGTGCATGTGGGCTGGTATGCGCTACATGTCCGCGCCCATCTGGATGTTCGTCCTCGTCAACTCCTTCATCCACGCCATGATGGTAAGTTTATCGCGCGCGTCCTGACTGCGAAAATCGAGAACCGGGATACTAACAGCCGTCCAGTACACCTACTACACCATCACCGCCTTCAACATCCGCGTCCCCATGGCCATCAAGCGAACCCTCACCACCCTCCAGATCACCCAGTTCCTCGTCGGAGCCACGTACGCCATGGCGCACTCCTTCGTCTCCTACACCGTGCCTGTCACCATCTACACCCGCAACAAGGGCGGCGATGCCATCACCCAGGCCGCCACCAGCACGGCTGCCGAGGCCGCCACCACGATCGCCGCCGGCGCCTTTGAGACCCTCAAGAACATGGTCTTTGGCGCGTCTACCAAGGTCGCCGAGGAGGCTGCTGCCGCCTCCGCCTCCGTCGCCGCCGCCGTCCCCCAGGATGGTTTCGTCGCCGAGACCGTTTACGTCACGCAGCCCTGCGTCACCACCAGCGGCGAGACCTTTGCCATCTGGCTCAACGTCCTCTACCTTGCGCCCCTCACCTACCTGTTCGTCATGTTCTTCATCCGCAGCTACATCCGCCGCAGCAGCGCCGAGTCCCACAAGGGCAAGGGCAAGGCCCGCCGTGACAGCAACGTCACCCTGGCCGAGAAGGCTGGCTGGGATGCCGCCCGCGAGGTCAACCGCGAGATCTACAACGGCTCCGCCTCGTACAACGTCGAGGGCAGCCCCAAGCGCGTTGCCAACGGCAAGGCCCAGTACTAGACGTCTGAGTGTGAGGTTTGAACGAGGTGACGGAGGTAATGGAAAACGGAATACACACGGAAGAGAAGCCCGGGAGGGGCTCCCGGAGAGGCGGCATGGGTTTGTTTCAACGGCGTTCTGAGCTGGGAAAACATTGGGGTAAGCATTTGCATCACCCGGGAGCGCTCGTTATCTTGTGGTAGCTGTCTACTTCCTTGCATCGCGCGCAGGGTAAATAGGCAAACCGCGCATCAGCCGGCGCGAGTATATATATAGCTATCCAAATGAGGTTACTTGTTATCCATTGCTCCGCGGTGACGTTGAAATGTGACGTTTACAGATTGTCATGTTGACCCCTTACAGCTTTCCAGGGTCAGACGCTGCGGCACCGGACAGCCGGCCGCGCCGAGTGAGACCCTCCCGGAAACGGCGGGGTGGCGGGGTGGCGGTATCAATTATGGGGACCGGATCGGATGTTTGGCTCCGAACTCTGGATCATCTTCTCCGCAGACCACCACTTTTCCGGATGCGGGAGGGCTCCGGAGCGCACTCCGACGGACTAACACCTCTGGTCACACTTGGCGCCTGTCGAACCTCGCGGTCTGGCTCAAGCTTTGCTTTTCAGTCGTCTGGCTCAGACGGTGACTCACCCCCCGACTGCCCAGGGTCTCAAGCCTCCTCTCAGACGCCACGTCACGCGGCTGCTGAATCACCTTGGGAGCCAGGCGGATGCTGTGTCGGCGTTGTGCTGCTCGACCTTAAGGGGGATGCAGGGTGCGATACGTCGACGCCACTGTCGCCGCCGGCGGTTCTGACTCTGATGTTTGGCTTTTGGCCTCTGGCTGCGTTTTTTCTCTTCGTTGTCATTGGCGGCGGGGGAGATGAAGCGGATGGCGAGGGGCACGCGGGCTGCGGGACGTGTCTGAGCCATCGCCACGGGGGTCTCGCCGATGCCGCGGATGGCGGAAGCTTGTGTCGACGCCCGTCTCGCCCATCTAGACGTCGTTTGGGCGCCGTGGCAAGACACTCGGCCAGGCAGGCAACGACGGAGTCAGTGGGTGGATTCGAGGGACGTGTGTCGACGCCCGCATGTGCCCGTTGCGTCAACGTCGCATGCCGCTCACGGCGTCCTGGATGGTCCTTGATACCCGCTGTAGATTGTGGATGCACGGGGTGTGAAGGTGGACGTCCTGGTCTCGCCCTAGGGCCTTGTTGACATCCGCGTTCGTCGCCGTCGCCGAGTCGTGTGTGACGAACCGCCCCCGACTCCGGGACCCAGAGCGCTCTATTGCGATTCAGGGATAACTGCCGAATGTCGTCTCTGCACCGCATGTCTGTACGACCCCGAGGCGGTGATGTGCTCACCAGCGCCCACGTGAAGGGAGGCGAGGGCATGAGGTCGCGCGGCGGAGCGCATAGTCCAAGTCTGGGCCCTTCTAGCAACAAAGTTCTCAAACAACCAGAATGTCTGCCGCCACAGCACAGAGTCATACGAAATACAAAAAGGCGGAGAAGGCCACGACGACGAATCACCACGAGGCTGACGGCGAACGACTCACACACGCCTCCCGCACGCGCGCACGCCCTCGCGATCGCCTGCCCCCCCCTTTGGCGCCTGTCCTACGCTCACGAGCTAAATCGAACCGCACCAACCCAGGGGTGCCCGCTCACCTCCTCGCCCATCGGGCTCACCTTAGCTCTCACCTTTGCACCACGCAACCCTGGACCACCATACCGCTCCATCCGCTGCCCACCCACGGCCGACCGACCGACGCTGACCCTCCTGCCTGGCCCATGGGGCTCTGAAGAAACCTGGGGTAGGACAGAAATGTCCCGACATGCTTACCGCAGCATGGAGCGGGCGATGATGCACTCGGATGACTCCACCACGTACTCCCCCTCTCCCGTGCCCCTCCAACCAACAACAGCTAGAGCCTGCACGCCGCAGCACTGGAGACGCGGGACGCGGGAATGGCAGAAGGGGGGGAAAGGCACCCGTCGCAGAGCGCGGTGAGCGCAAGACGGGGCCAACACAGCACTGATCGCAACGGGAGAGAGAGACGACGACGGGGGTTGGCCCCATGTGGGAAAAAGAGCAACAACACACGGCGTCGACGCTAGGTTAGCCTCGGCATAAGCGGCGGGCGAACATGATGACCACCACCACCACCGCCCTCCCCTCATCCACCCCCTCCTCCTCTGTTACAGAGCCTCACTTACACCGCCCAGTCCAGCTGGGCCCGCAACACCACGACACCATGACCGGACCACGGGGAAGTCGTGCGCGCGCTCCCGGGGCTGCGGCAAAGGACAAGAGCGTCCTCCAGTCGGGGCTTCCTCCGGGGCCGCCCCGGCCATGAGACACGTCGAGCGGGCGCGCAGGCAGCCTGCCTTATCTGGACGCTGGGTGACGATGGGAAATTGAGACCAGGAACCCCCGTTTGCCTCCAACTCACTTACACGCCTCGACGACGTGACGCACCATGACCGAGCATGAGCGCGGCTTGTGTTCCACCGGGTGGCGGCACGTCATCCGCGGGCGTGAGCGAGAGCGAGAGGCCGGCGAGGGTCGTCGTCGGAGTCGACATTCAGGTCCCGCCGCCCGTGGGTCGTGAAACATTGAAAGGCGTTCGCGACAAAACAACCCCTCAAAGTATCGTTGCCGGCGACGGCATCGAACGAGACGCCGCTGCGGTGCGATATTACGTAGTCGGTCACGGCGCGAGTCACTGATAAGGCAAGGTTTGGAGGCGTAAGGTTTGTTGGTTGCAATAGATGGTATTTCTTTTCTTGCTTGGAGAACCGTATCAAGCAGAGAGGGCCAAGACCTGGGCCAGGCCGCCAGCGCAAACAAGGTTGCGTTGCGACCCCGTCCGGGTTGCTCCCCCCTCTCTCCTGCTGGCCACAACTCCGTCAACCAATGCTGCGACAGCAACTCTAAATTACACACAAACGCCGACCCATGAAGGTGTTCGGCCGACCTGGTCCGCATCTCGCCCTCTTCCCTATCAGAAGTGACCCAAGGAACACCCTGGACAGTTCAGAGTGCGAAACAAATCATCCAGCCCGTCACATCTGGGGTATAAACCTTCAGAGGGGTAATGCCGCTAAAAACTCCGTACTCTAGGGAGTGTTAAAAATTAAAAGCCAAAATTGTCATCTTTCCGTAAACCCTTGTTGAGATCAGGGGGGACGAGCCGTATCCTGATCTCGAACGTTCCAATCCAACGCCACGCTTAAATGCAAAAAAGTGCCCATGCCAAATCGGATCGGATATCGAAACCGGTGAGGCGTTCTATGTGAGGATCAAGGTAATGGGTGGCGCGTTATGTGCAGTCCATTAATGGGGTATTGGTGCGTTGTGTAGTCGATAATGGTCCAGGCGTTCCGTGTTTAGTGTCTGGTATCGTCGGCGTGGTGGGTTGGCGAGAACCTTCCGCCGCCGTATGAGGGGTGTGTGTTGTCTATGATTCTATTATTCGCTCTTCATTAAGGCCGTGAATCGTGATCCGCTGGGTATCGCGCCTGATGGGGTTTTTCTTTTCGTGGGGTTTCCGAAATCCTTCCGATGGTGTCTCCCGCTCCTGGACTTCCTACATCCTCTAGAAGGTGCTCCAGTTCCAGTCACGAGGGACGCTGGCAGCCACCTCCGGGCCCTTGGTGGGCGGCAGCATGCCGGGCATCATCGGGACAACGGGGCTCGCGACGATGGGGCTTGACGGTGCGTCGGACGAGTCGGAGCTCTGGTCGCTGCCGCTGCGGCTGCCGTTACGGCTCTTCCATACCTTAAACTCGGTGAAGCAGTGGAAGCAGGCGCGGGCGAGGGTGCCCCGGGGGTTGTAGTTGCAGTCCTCGTCGAGGGGGATGACCTCGTTGGAGTGCATGTGGCAGAAGATGTTGCCACAGCGGCGGCAGTGGTGTCTGCGGTTGAGGGGCGTGAACCTGCGCTTGCAGGTCGGGTCGTCGCACATGACAGACTCGGTGTCGGGCTGCGGTGGTCTTGTTAGTTTCCTGGTGCAAATAGAGGCGGAGAGCGCGTCAGACATACCTTCCAGTGCTTGCGGGTGGGCTCGCCGGTGACCTGGGGGAACAGGTCGGCGTCCAACTCGAGGTCGATGACCTTGCCGCTGTCGCCGGTGGAGCGGCGCGACAGCTTCTGGCCGAGGACGCTGAAGCCCGGCAGGCTGATGAAGCTGCTGTTGGAGCGGCGCAAGCAGAGCAGGTCCCCTCCGTCGAGGTCCTCGGCCTTGGGGGCCCGGGGCTTCTTGGAGTGGTGCTTGTTGGGGCGGAGGACGGCAGGGACGTAGACGGGGCGCACCGACTCGGTCAGGCACGACTTGGGCGAGGTGGGAGACCCGTCGTGAGGCGTGCTGAGAGGCGAGGTGCGGTTGCGGAAGGGCTGGGGCTGGGGCACCGTCTGGAAGGACTGGGATCGGTTGTGGGAGAAGTGAGGGCGGTCCTGGGCGAAGAAGGGGCCGCGCTGCTCGACGAGGGTGGGCATTATGAGATCCGTTGCCATTGTGTCGGACTCGAGGTGAAGATGCTTGGTTGTCGGTGTTTGTAAGTTACGCTGAGGATAAGAATGGAGCGCGTCGGCGGTGGGCGATGGCGCTGATTAAAGTGCAAAGAGGCGCGTGGTGAGAGATGCGACTTTGTCGTGAGAGGGTGTCGCGACGGGTTGGTGTTATTATAAGGCGAAGAAGTGGCGCCAGGTCAAGCGTGGTGAGATGGGTGTCGTGTTGTCGGGGATGCTTCGGGCTAATCCAGGTTGCAGACCGTGTGGTAGTTGAAGACGACGTGACGCAGAATGTTGGTTCGTGTTGGTTCGGGTGGTGAAGATATGCTAGATCACCCAAGGCTGGCGTGGTGAATATGATATTTGAGTGGAATGTTGTTGGTGGTGGTCAAAGAAGCAATCGCAGCAAGATAGAGATGCGTGCGTGCAATGGAGGGGAGCGGATTGGTGAAGTACTTGGGCGGGATGCTTGGGGTCTAAATGGATGGGATGAGATTCGGGGCGCGGAAGGGGGGCGTGGGCTTTTGAGCCTCTGGGGGGTGGGAGTGGGAAGAGGGCGATTCAGTGGAAGGGGGGGGGGGAGTAGCTGCGCTGCGGAAGCGGGTTCCCTATTAGATTTAATGCTGCGGCAATTGGCGGAGGAGAGTCCCCGACAGAGAGTCAGTGGAGAGATACTGGGAATGAGGGAGGGGGAGTGTGCTTCCCCCCCAAACACCTCACTCACCTAACTCTCAGTACCATACTGGTAGTACCTACGTAGGAGTTGGAAGCGGTCGGTCGACATGACACGCCCTCCTGTCTTCCAGTAGATACGGCTCCCCTTCCTGCCCATGCCATCCATAACCTTCACCACCATCCAAAACCTCGTCACTCTCGCCGCTCTGGCCCGCCGGCCGCTCCAACTTGCACACCATCACGTCCGGAGCATCAAACTGGCTAGCTACGCTGACCGGATCGACAGTTCCAGTTCCCCCTTGAACCAGCGTCATGCTAGATAGAGGCCCGAACCCGCCCAAGGTCACCGCCAGTCTCGCAGGCTACGGTACAGCGAGGCAGGCACCTGAGAGTCGGCCCCGGGACACCCTGAGGCGAGGAGCGCGGTCCGGAGAAGCCCAGCCAGCCAGAGGCGAAAGGGTATCCGTACACTGCGCGGTTACAGCGAGAGAGGGCGAGGCGGCGGCCACGATGATGCTGGAGGCGACGGCGACCGCCCTTTTGCCCTGCAAGGAATCCCCGTCCGCCCACTCCCCTCTTCATTCCCTCCCAGCAGCCACCAGTCCAAGATTCCGCGCGCCGATGATCTCCACCTCCCCGAGCCTCCAGTGCTCCCCAGGCCTCGAAGTGGTTTAGCCACTCTGGGACAGCCTTCTTCCCCATTCGCTGGCCGGTCGAGCGGCCTTCTATCCGCCCTCGTGGTTGGTCGTCGAGAGGGCCGAACCCTTGCCAAACTCAGGACGACGACCCGAGCCCCCGGCCACACCAGGCCGAATTCCCCCAAGCCCCCCTCCCCCGTTCCGTCGTCCCAACTGCCACCGCGCTGCGCAGAAACGCCCAGGACGGAATTTGCCCTGTACACTATTATGGAGGCTACTGTACGTGAGAAAGACGTTTCCACAGTGGCTCAACCCCCTCCGAAAGAAACCCTCCAAGCCTCCTCCCGGAGATGGCGCTCCTCCCGTCTCCTCTCCTCTCCTCCCGCATTGTCTCTCGCTCATGTTCCGTGCCCATTGTCTCGTCCCGTCATCTCACCAAGCCCGGTTGAGAACAAGGACCGGCGCTGCCCTCCAAAAGGACCCTGAAATGAATAAACTACGTAAGGCGGTGGTCGGGTCCCATACGCTCAGGCGCTAGGTCCACGTCGTTGAATGAAGATCGCTGGGAACCTCCTTCTCTGACACAACGGGGCCGCTGCTCGCGTGTCCTGCTACCCTTTCAACAATGTCGTGCCTCCTTCTTCTAGCCGCAGTCGAGCCGCCGCTAGACATCCTCCTGGATCGCCCGGGATACCTCGTTTATCATCAAGATACGACTTGTCTTCTATACCTTCCCCTACGGATTAGTGCCCGAGACTCTTGGTAGGGATCGCGGACCTTCCAGATGCTCGAGGTCAGGTCACCATGGTTCTTTTGGCTCAGGGTCCCTACTCCTTTTGCCCCGGCGACAGCCGGCCAAAGGGTCTCGCAGGGAAGGAAGGAAACGAAGGGCTGGAGAAGAACATTGAAAAAAGCAATATTCGCCCACGTAGCGCCTATGGCCGCAAATTAGCGGTGGGCGAAGAGCAGAAGCTGTCGGGGTTAACCTTTGAGACACAAGGCCCTTGAGAACCCACTTCACGCCTCCCTCTTCCGCCTCGTCGCTTTTTAGCACGAACTCCCGTCTCCAGCCTTTTTTGGGCACTCCGGAGAAACACCGCGATATCGCCTTGGCTCTCGGTCTCATTGTTGACATGACGATGGCACACACGAGGCAGCCCGAGTTACTCAAACGTAATGGCAGCCGTTCGCGGTGCCGCGCTGGGTGAAGGATCGTCTTTCATCGCGATGCTTGTTTCCGCACGCCGCCTCGACGCCCCTCTTCACCTGCGGCGGCTGCATCGTCACCGCCAGCCCAAAATAATTACGGGGGGGGGGGGCTCGTCGGACAGCGACCGATCTGGACTCTGCTCGCTTGATTCCCATTGCGTGCGTGTGTTTTTGCTGGCTGCCGCTCGTATCGCATCCAGGCGGCGCGCATTGGCCAGGCACATCGGGATTCGGGGACCCATCCTCCACTTCTTCCATAAGATGGGGCCCGGCAGGGGTGGGAACGAACCGACACACCTGGACATGGGTGACATGGAGAGCGCCGCCGAGCTTTTGATTGTTTGTACGTAGGAGAAATGCTGAGCCGCCTGTTCTTGGTGTAGTGTGGTAATTTCTGTCCGGACACATTCTCCTGTTTGCTCTGGTTTGTAATTCGATGGTGTCGTCTGTCGCCTCGGTGTTGCTGCGGCTCTGATCTCGTTGTTCGTGGGCAGGGCAGGGCAGGGTGACAACGGACAACGCGCAGGTGGTGCTGGGCGTACAGAGTACATGTCATGATTCCGTCGACGGCACTCTCTCGACTCTTGGTGGTTGATCCCGCTCCCCCTCCCGATGCGTGGATGCGTGTGCGCGTACCCATCCAGCCTGCAGGATACCTTATGCGCCTGCACCGCGATAGGCGGGATCCAATCGTCCTGTGCGACGTCGGAACGCTTGGTCTGAGTGCCCCTCTTGGTGATGACAGACAGGGCAGATTTGCTTTTGCTGCACGTAGTCGGCCGGGGCCCTGGAGGAGAAGCCCAGTCCCAGACTGTGCCATGCCTCTCTCGCATCTGTACAACTTGGCGGACAGTCGGATGCTCGATGTTCGAGGAAACCCGGCTTTGACGCGGCACGCACAGGACGCCCTCGTCGCTAAGCCGCATCCAGGCCAGCTGCCGCAAAGGCGTTGTTGGCATTGTTGGCCCTGTCAGAAATGCCAGACCGCTGCGTAGCGTAACGCCTGGGGTCTGCTCCTCCAGACGTAGAGGGCCCCGGCTGTGGGACGGAGAACCTCTGGACCACAGAAAAACAAAGGCTGCTTCTGTGAAGGAACTCCACTGCCCAGCTGCTGCTCAGTTGCTGCATTGGGGGCGCCTAGGCGGGGTCCTGCCTCTCCACATTGTGGGGATTTCGTCCTCTCTTCGACATCGGCCCAACCGGACCAGACGAACGCTGTTCATTTCCAATCGCCGTGACTCGCCTGTGCCTTCTATCCGACCTCCAGCCTCCCCAGTCGAGGCTTGTTACTTGTTGCTTGTTGTTTGCCTGGTTGGCAATGGCCATCGTCTGGACAGTGGGCGGGTGCGTGTGGCTTCGTCTTCCAGCCCCCTACGCTCAGCCACTACCCTCGATTCAGCTCTGTGTGGACACTCCTCGACCGTTGCCAGGCTGTAGACGGGGTCGTCGTCTATTGCATACGCAACGTCAACAGCCGTCGCAAGCGTCCCCGTCAGTTGTCAACGGGACGCGGGTCCTGCACGCTGCGGAGTGGGTGGCACAGCGTCGCCGCGTACCTGTACATAGTGTACTATTTACGAAGTGCCACAGCAGGACGGAGGCTGCGGCAAAACCACATGGCAATGTCTGAGGGTTTTTGCCGAGTCGCTGCTGCACGCCGCTCGCCTCCTCGTGGCCGCCGACAAAAGCCTCCCGTTGTCGGCGGCGGCTCGTCGAAAAGAAAACTGGGCGGCATGCCGGATGCCCCTTTTGCCCACATGTCGAGCCCAATTGTGTCGACAAGTGCCGCGATGACTTGCTCTAGCTCCTGTGTGCATTGCTCTCAATGGGTTGTCATCAGCAGCGCCGCTTCTCTGGGGCCACTGTTCCAACTCCATCCATCCGTCAAGTCAGCTATCGTTCGGGCTCTCAGTGGCCAATTGAGGCCGATCTGACCGTGTTGGCCGAGTGAGAGGGACGGGAGTCTGTACCATTGGTTCCCCTTTCGTTTTAGATTGATCTTGGGGGTTCGCAAAGACTCCGAGGTTGTATCTGTAGCTCGTACTGCATCAGTGGTAATCAGGATCCGTGGAGAAGGAATCTCCAACTTTCTCGAGTCAGTCCAACCACTGGAGATGACGCAGGTGGTGCAACGCCCGACACTCTGTGATTTCGTTCAATGCCCATCCATTCCTGGAACAGCAAAGGCCAATCCAACCACAAATGAAGGATCTGCTCCAAAAACTTGACAGGCGAGCGGGAGCTGAGAGAGAGGTCGACATCGACACCCCCACCACGGCTCACGCTCTGTGGTTTGCGAGGGGTGCGATGGATATTGAGGAGCCAAGAGGGCCGGCTCCCCAGGATGCCGAGAGCAACGCGAAGCGAAGCTGCGAAGAGACGCAGAGGCCAGATGGGGGCAGCCGGGCCAGATTGAGAACATCGTGCAGGAAGAGATCCAGAAACTTCACGCAAGAAAGCCGCCAGGGCGGGGACCTGTCCACTTGCACTCCCACGGCCCACGGCTCCAGAACACGCCTAGAAGCCTGGAGATGAGGGCCGCTTGGGCTTGGCATTTGCAAACAGGTTGCTCAGAGGCCCGCCCGCGACGGCGCGTATGGCCAATGTCTCGGTGGCACTATGGCACTTTGAGAGATAATTGCCATCACTCACAGACGACGGGCTGGCTGGTCGCCCTGCCGCCTCGCCCGAGCTGTGGCTCCCAGTGGATAAGGCCGCGGTACATACCTAGTATGTGCTGCGGTGGGGAGTCCAACGAGCAGGCCAAACCGCTGCGCGGCATTGATGACGGACGGGGGAAGGCCAATGCGGGCTGCTGTCCCCCTTTTCGCCACAGCCTTGCGACGACCGTCTGTTCGTTCGCTGTCGCCGAGCGCTAGGACTTTACGCATATGGCGACCGTGAAGAGCCCCCGGAATCAGGCCGACTCCACTTGTTCCCATCCCATTCCCGTCTGCTGGCTTCGGTATTCGACCTGTTCTTGACAACAACAAGGTCCGGCCGAGGCTCAAAGCCCGGACACACGGAACCGACGAGGCAGGCGCGGCTTGGACGGAGATGTAGAGGCGAAACACACAAAGGAGACGCCGTGGTTGCATCGCTGACGGAGCCGAGCAGAGGACACGGTGAGACACGCGCAGGGCGACAAAGACCAGCTGGTGGCTCTCTCCCTCTGTTCAAGAGACCCTGCGCCACCAGGGCTTCCCACGGCTCGATGTCGACGCACACGGCAGACGCCCAACGACCTGGTTTCCAAAGAGGACACCGACATCTGCTACTATGTAAATGTGTACCTGCTATCCCTGTAAGATGATTGGGCAGGGCGCCTGAGTCGGTTCACTGCCAACTTTTGCCTTTTCTCGTTCTCGGCCGCCCACTGCAAGCAAGCCTCGACAGGTTTTTTCCCTTGTGCAGGAGAGCGGTGGATACCGTCCTCGTTCGACTGCAACGCGAACGAGAGCGGTCTTTGGCCGTTGGGGTTATTTTTCGCATAGGACGACGAGAATCAATCGCTGCCAAGTTTGAGGAGGCTGCTGTTACCCGCCACCCCCCTATGCAAACGGCGTGGTTGGCAGGCGAGCCGACGATCCTGGATCCCAGGCCAGACCAGGACGACCGTTTCGCCGCCATCATCCCTACAGCGGGTTATCTCCTCGCGTGCGAAGCGTGCAAGCGAACGTGGTGTTCCCCGGATTGGCCCCGAATGAGACATGGCACTTGTTAAACGAGCCTCATTTCGACATCACGGGCGGGAAAAAGCAAGGGGGCAAGCGGATGCTCGAACCGGAGACGGTCGAGCGGCCTGTAGGAAAGCTGGTTTCAGCGATAACAGAATCAGGTGAGGGAGGGACGATACGCCCAGGACGCCCAGGACGCCCTATGCCGTTCCGAGGGGACGGGACGGAGATGGTGGCATGGTGTGCAGATGCGGGATTGTCGGTGAGTTTTGGATGGGGGGGGGAGGAGTCGCATCGGCAGTGATCCTCGCCCCAGATGGGCAGACGGAACAGCCAAGCGAAGGAAATCCAATCCTCAAAAGGATTAAGCGAAGGAAATCCAACCCCCAAAGGGAGATGAAATGTGAGGCCTTTTCTGGATGTCTAGAGGCTCGGAGCGACAAAAGGACCACGCAAACCGACGAGAGGAGAGACAAGAACCATCCCGGCAATCCGTTTTGCTGGGAAGGGGAAAAGCATCGTCAACCTGGGAATGCACACACTGAGGAGCCCAGAGCGCATCGAGATAACACTCCACTCTTTCTTTTTTCGCAAAGAAAAAAGCACAGACACGCTTGCCTGCATTAGGAACCCTTGCTGCATGCCATGCTTCAAAATCCCTGCCCTTAATCAATCGATGCAGGGTCTCTGTCGCTCATTGGCTGTGCTTTTTGCGCCGTTATCGTCGAGTACTGATTGGCTGCGAAGACCCTGGTCATTGACGCACTTATGCCTCAGGCCTAAATCTGGGGTGTGCAGGAAGAGCGTCCCAGAGCCGGCTCTGGCAAAGCGCGTCACGGCTGGCAAACGCCTGGCGGGCTGCTGGCTATCGGCCAACCGTTGGCGTATGCAGGGCGTTCGGCATGTGACGTCGCCGCCCGGCATCCCTCGTCGGCCTGTTCACCGCCTAGTGACATACCAAAACGTTGCTGGTCCACGTCCGCTTACACGTACACCGAATCGTTCAGCTGGGCCAATTCTTTTTGTTGCTTTCTTTTGCGATGCCACCCTATCCCGGCCGCGGGACTGCTGCCGTCCACAAGGCATCGGAAGCGTTATCGCATAGGGATGGACGACACGGCAATCACCGGGGAAGCTCATCCGTCAAAGTGAACGTCTCGCCCCCGGAAGGGGTTCCGAATGGGGGAATTGAGAGACAGGAGACGTTGCTAAAGGTGGCAGGCTGTCACGGATAACGGACGGCGACAATGCGACACGGCTAGCAGCAAACCACCACAACGACGACGACGACGACGTTCGTTTCCAATCGTTGCACGTCAACGTGAGATGGATGGCGGCCGTCGATCCGTGCAACGAACGAACGAACGAACCCCTTCCCTCGTCCAACCCGCGCGCCCGCCGGGCGATCGTCCTGCCCATCCATCACCCATCAGCATCCTTATCCGTCCGTACCTTGCCTGTGTGTTTCCAAGCGCTCCGTGACGTTTAAGGGGGATTTTCGTGATCGCCGGCGCGGGAAAAGGGAAGGAATGCGGGTTGCGTGAGACGGAAGCGCGCCCCAGGCTTACTCCAAGCAGCTTCCCCGCGGAGACGTACAGAGCATAGCAAACCATCTCCAAAAAGGAGTTCCCCCCTGGCTGGCACAATCCTACCCCAACACCGGTCGCGCCGGCCGAGAGAGCCAGCGAGCAGACCTCCTTGGTCCGTCACATCTTTTTTCGGAGGAGGGGGGAGGGGCCTCGAGTCCGAGATACGCCATGACGTATCGGGAGGGCTGCTCATCTTCCGCTCTAGGCAGGCTGACACGGGATCGCTCGATTAATCGAGATCAAACAATTGGGATTTTTGTTATTTATTTTATTTTTTTGGCTTCGTTTCCATCGCTCTCCCGGTCCTCCTTGGCGCGGCCTCACTGACTCAGGATGCCTGAACGTTGGCGACAGGGTGGGCTCCGCGATTGCCAATCTGTAGTGTTTGTGATGTTTATGATGCTCGCCGTAGCCAAACATGACGTCGGCCCGTCCGGGGTGCTGTTCCCTGGGGATCGGAGGGCCCAGGAGTCTGGCAAAGGGGATCGAGGATCGCTCTCGAATGCAACCGTGAACGAACAATGAGGGGAGGCTGGAGCCTTTGCGGTGAAGCCAACAGCAGCACTCTTTGCAGCTGTGCTTGCTAGGAAAGCCATGTTTGCGGCGACTTGAAACAGTGTTTGCTCTGCTACTCTGGTGCCTTTTTGAGATGATTGAACTCTAATGTGTAGCTACCGCCCAATTGTTCGGGAAGGTACACTGTGATGTTCATATTCGTCGAGCTCTTGACTAAGCCAAGAAGTCCGTTCTGGACGGCAGGACCTAGCTTAAGTGGGCGAATGAGCTGCAGTGCAATCCGACGTCTTCGTACATGGGCTCGTTCCTCTCCCAGACCAGCGTCCGAGCTCTTGATATTGACCTCAAGGTTCAGAACATGCCGACTATAGAATAACATGGCATTCGTATCCAGCGCTGTTCTAATGAAGCGCCCAAGCTGTACGGGCTTTCAAAGCAAGCTTGAGGTGGTGTAGTGGTCGATATGACAGATGGAATAGGGGTAAACGGCCTGTGTTGCTCGTCGTCAACTCGAGATAACTCGAACCACGAACGAAATATGGCACTGAGCTCAAGATCCTTGAAAGTGACTTGTAGAGATATCTAACATCCTCGTGACCTACGACAATTTCGGCCAAACCTGCAAGATAATGTGGCCATTGCCAGCGGCCCTCACCCTCAATATTCCTCTACCTCGGGGGCTGAAGTGACTCCTAACCACTCGGGCACGGCATCGGGTTCGAACCAGTGCAATCTTGAGGCCGTCTCACATCCGTCAGAGTTACATACCGGACGGGTATCGAGGCTTGAAGCTAGACAACGGAGTCCAAGTGCGCAGCTAAGTCGGGGGTCTGGGTCGTTCAATGCTTGAAGATGTCCTGGACGCCCGGGATGTCGGTGTAGTCTCTCGACCTCTTCGTCATTCTGTGAAGCATCCGTGAGCAAGGTCAAAATAGTGAAATTTGGTGAGACAACAGTGAGTGAAGATTGGGACTGGAAGAGACAATTCAAGGTAGCGGCCAAGGTCGAAGAAGGAGATGAACGTTGCTGTGCCATGTAGAGACGTTTCCCAAGCGAGATGTCCGAGGAATGACTTGTTATCGCCCGCGTCAAAGAACGTCTTCGCCTCGTCGAATGCCATCATCAGGTCGTCTGCTGATCCTGTTCGCCGGCCAAGGACAAGATCTCTTATTCCTCTGCAGTTCTGCTGCTGTTCCATAGGCCTCTGACATGCTCCCCTCCTGCTCCTTGAGCATGCGCGGCTCACCCTTCTCGGCAAGGTGCTCCTTGGCCGCATATAGCTACCCTCTCACCTGGGCGAACCGAAAGGTGCAGGTCTCGAATGGCCAGTTCATCTGATTGCTTTGTTTCCACTTCTGCGCCTGATGCAACTTGAGGGGCTCCATAAGACGCCGAAACTGCTTTGACATTGATTGCGCCTTGTTCCGGCCAGTTTTCTTTGGGAATGATGTCCTCGTGGGCCCGGTTTCTGGAGTTACCGTGTCGCTGAAGGTTTTGAGTCGCGCCACGGCCCCGATGCTGGTCTCGAGCGTCGTGTAAGATTGTACGATCGTAGTCAGAATATCGTCAAACGACATGATGGTGACGAGGGAGGCTCCAGTGACTCCAGAGCTCGCCCGGAGCTGGGTTGCCAACGTGACAACGACAGAGGCGACCACAGCAACAAGCAGCTTCAATTTCAGCTGCAGCCAACGCTGAATGATGACAAGCTGGTAAGCTGGTTGTTGACTGGTATTGATTAGATCGTTATTGACGCTATATCGGAGTCGATGAAGCCCAGCGCTCGCAGCGCGACTAAGCCTTTGAGAGTATCAATGAAATGAGAGCTGCCCCAACAATTAGCTGGTGCTATACCAAATGGAAGTCCAAGTACTTACTAGAGCGATCTCTTTGCTTCGAGCTACAATGTGCGTAGCTACCTTGGCGTTCGGAGGTAGAACATTTGGACAAAGTGCAGGACCCTATGAGAAACAGAGCGTTGACCCAGAAGTAGGTCGAAAGGCTGATGATGCCACTCATCGTCTCCGGACGTTGCCACTTTCGTAGGTCCATCTGGTGTTTCTTCCGAGACTCGCCACGAAGCTGACAGCTTTGAGGGCGACAGCGGTAACCGAGACTTAGGCTTGTTGCAGATCCTCCGGGGAACCGGACGAGAGCCATAACGTCCTCGACTGGGCGACGTCAAACAAGATGGCGACCAATAAGTAAATGTTAAGCAGCATCGATGGTCATGGAGAGCGGGGATGCTCCAGCAACGAGAGTAGAATTATAACCAGGCTGACGATGAAGCCCATCGCATCAGAGGCCACTCCGGATTGGCACGACCAGTAAATGCTGCGGGCTGACAAGGTCAACTGGCCAAGCCGGAGCCTGATGTAGACGACAACGAGCGACTGCTTGGGTATTAGAAAAACGACGACAAGCGGCATTCGTCATGCTTACAAGCTTGAGCCATTGCAGAATGACTCTACTAACAACCCTCCGCCTGCGAAACAAGTAACAGAGTCGTGGGAGTGCAGCTGCAATGAATAGCGAAGACGGGACGATTGACAAAACGACATGTTCGAACGTTGGTCAACTGCCTGCCGCATGCGAGATGAAAAGGAATACTTTGGTACGACCTTTCCTCGCCGATTCCAGGGACCACCAGCAGCCGTCTAGGGCTGTCAGGCCCGATGTGGAAGAGCATAGTTGATGACCCGCAAAACACATTGGCTGGATCGATCCATTGGCTGGTCACAGTGAGTTGAGCCCCAAAGGTCGGTTGTACGATGATCAGAAGTCCCTTGGGCATGACAGTGCTAGCCGATAAACGTCCAATTTCGACGCCCCAAAGGTCGACACGACCTTGGAATTCCAGTATGCTGCGTGGAATATGGCTTTTTAGGTGGTAGTATCCGTCCTGCCTTTGTGGCTTCTGGATGGAAAGCGTCAATAACATCAACATCATCACAACGAAGTGTGGTTGATGTAACGCTTGATCAGTCGAGTTTGCGTAGGCAATTGGGAGTTGCCAGGCTGGGTTCTCTTGCCCGCGCCACCTTAAAAGGAAAGGACAGTGTGATGAATCACGTGTTAGTTGATCACATGAGTAGACTATGTCAGCTTGAAATGAAACCAGTCATATCTTGAAAGAGGAGATTCAAATTGATGGTTCACAGTTGCTTTTCGGTGATTGAGGATCTTCGTAGCAAGAACGAAAAGTGAGAAAAGAAAATCAACCGCCCCTGTCAGTTTGTTTGGACAGGAGCTCACCTCACTGCATCATCACCGCCATTGGCTGAAGTCATTAGGCGAAACTGACGACCGCTAAAAAGGTGCAGTGTATGTCAACCCAGTCGCCGGTGTTGAGGATCACTCGGATAAGATGACAGGCGAAGTCAAGCTGCTACGACTAAGGTAAGCTTTCTAGAGATGTAAGCAGTTTGCATATATGCGACAGTTCACTCTGGTTCCAGTTGACGCGGACAAGTAAAATGCTACGAAAGTCTTGAATTGATAGCGTTAGTCAGCTACTACCATGCGGCTCCTAGCGCTGCTTGTACGACGCCATACTGGTGAGGGCGGGCCGGAACTAGATCGGAGGCCCGGTTGGACGTCAGCAGGAACTGGGGCGACGCCGGTGCCAATGACAAGCCCCACCTCTCCTGTCGATACCTAGTTCTGTTCCACAGATAGACTCTTTGCAATTCCTTGCTCTACAGCTTTCTCCATGCCTCTGCATCATGACTGAATATTTGATGCTCCCGTGTCCGCCCACAAGATAGCACGGCCGCCGTCAGCCGACTTTGGCGCGGTGTTCATAATGCACACCGTGCTTATTCAAATGTACCGGGGCGCCCACGCTTGAAATTCACATGCAATGGTTTGGTGAGGTACAAGAGAGGATGCAGCAGTAGAGACGGGATCTACGAATAGGCCGCCCCAAGTCCCTCATTCGTCCACGGCAGAAAACTCGACCCCAGGCCCGTTTCATTGCATTCCCGTCGGGCAGTTTCACGATAAGCATTTGGTTGCATCGGCCCAGGGCGATCGCTGACTTGCGATACGGAAATACCTACGCGGGGCCCCGACACAACAACATGGCAAGGATCCAACCCCCTTATTACTATTTTGACAACTCCCAAGAGTTGAACCATCCATTCACGCGTGGGGGGAGGAATCGCAGGACTCGACAATCACCTATCGTCAACCCGCCATCCATCGTGGGGGCGACGATGAGCCGGACTCCTGCCCATCTAAATAAAGGCTCTGAGACACGGACAACTGCCCGCGCCAGCAGAGAGCCAAGAGAAGCACAAGAGAGAGTTGAAACGTTCACTGCCAAGACCATTGCGAGACCGTAACCACAAGCTTTTTTAATTTACTCTTACCGCTCATAGGCAACATCAGATCCCGTTGCAAACTTAACCTTGGCTACCGCAATGCCGCGCTCGTCACCCCCTCCAGCCCGATAATACCCAAAACCCGCCAAGGTGCAGCCAAGGTTCTCGGACCACTAGCCGACTGCACCGCTAGACGCCCGTGGCCGAGCCTCAATTGTCATTCCTCCAAAATAGACATGCTACTCCTGGCGAGCCCTTGATGATGGACAGAGGACGAAGATGGGGAAAAGGGGGCGCGGAGTCGAATGACATGCCTTCATCCCGTCGTGAAAGAAGTATATAATCGAGACAAACGCACAGTCGAGCATCCAATCTTTCACTAGCTCATCATCACATAACAAGTCTTCAGCTTTACCTTCATCCGATCGAAAACCTTGCTCAAAACGGCCAACCTACTCCCTATCCACAACATCAGCAACAATGCGTGGCGTCCTCCTCACCGTCCTCGCCCTCGTCGCCGCCTCTGTCGCGCAGGCCCCCGCCGAACCCTACACCGGTCCCTGTAGCGACGACGCCTGCGGCGTTGAGAGCGAGAACTGCGAAGTCCAGGGCCGACAGTGCTTCCCTTTCCCCAACATCGCCCCGGCGCTTCGCGAGGGCTGTGTCTGCGGCTCCGGCTAGATGGTGTATGCGCTGTGTTTTCAAAGGCGTGAGTGTAGTCCCATCTCTGCTGTGTGGCAGATCGTCTCATCATCAGCGTAGGTTTTGGTTCAGGTTCGGCAATGTCAGGGCGTCAGACCCGCAAAGTAGACTTCAGAGTGCAGAGGGATGAAACGGTCGGGATGCATCATGGACAAACATACCCTGGCGCCAGAGACGTCGGCGAGTTCAGCATTGTGGTTTTCAACTGTTAGCATTGGTTCTAGATGATCGAATTGAATTGGACTCGAACTCCTTCCAAAGCTTCGGACGTTAACCAACCGTCTACTGCTTGGTGTGCCTGCTTGATTACATGACGTTCCAAAAGAGCTTCAGAGGGCCGCTTAAACATCACCAGCAGCTAGCCGTCTGCTACCAGTGACTACGGCAAGTTGCGAACGAGGGCGAAGAAGTGCAAAAAGGCGGTCCGGGGCCGATCTCTCCCGCTAGCTGTTTGAGTCAGTTCATGCCCGGGAAAGGAGCTTGGCATCTGCTTAACGGTCATCATACCGAGTCAACCCGCCCAGGCTGGGGCTGAAGAGGGGCCAAACACTTGGGAAGCTTGTGTCGCGGACCATTCAAAGGGATAGACCTAGTTGCGTCCAAGTGCGGAAAGGTCGTCTTAGACTACGGTAACGACGACCTGGGTTGACTAAGCTTGCTTTGTGATAAACGAGAAGCTTCCTTGTTAGCATTGTATCCGTCTCGATACGTTCTCCATTAATTATACAGAGAAGTGTTTATTCTAGTCGTCATAGCCGAGAACGTAGTGACATATCGGCGTTCTGTGTTTTGTGGACCTAGCCCGCGGTTAGACTGATGTACACTTTTCCCTTGCCTATCAAAGTTTATTATGTCGCTTAGATGGTGTTGGAGCGTTGTAGGCGTCTCCGAATCATCTGATACCCCGTCTTTCATGGTTATTCGAGACTTCAAGAGCCCGGAGAGGCATCATTGCTGGGTGTAGTTGTGGCATACTCAGTGAACCCAGCTTAGGCGTTGAGGTTTTGTGCCATGGAACATTGGAGCTAGCATCGACAATGCAGTCTCGCAGGGTAATGGGAATGGCGCTGGTGACGCTGGCGACCACGAGAAAGGCGAAAGTCCCTTAGCGTCGCAGACAGGTAGCGGCAAGACGACGCCAGGAAGGCCAAAGACATGCAGATCGGGATAGAGAGACACCGATATGGGAGAGAGCACACTGGAGGTGCATTTGAGCCAACATGCTGCGGAACCATGTGCTTTTGTGTGCTCCGGGAAAATGGCTTAACAAGGGAGCCGGGAAGAGAGACGTATCGACATGGTCGATAGCACAATGAAGAGCCATCTTGTGCGGGCAACCAGAACCTCGTTGAGAAGGAAGGGGCCTAGGTCTAGTGGAAAATGAAGAGACAGACGCTACCTCGTACCTTCCCGTTCCTTCTTGGGCCGGCCTTAGGAACCTCTGGCTCTTTCTTCTGTCTGATTTCTGACGACCGTTGCAAAAGAATTCTTCTCCCATTACTTTCACCTGGCAGACTGCGAAGTTGTGTCGCGGGCCCATCTTCCAAGATGTCGGAAACTGAGAAGCGAAAAGCCTCGGAACCCCTCGCAAGACCATCTAAAAAAGCCAAAATGAATGTCCTTGCACAGGAATCCTCAAACACTGAGGAGCGCGCCGAGTTCGTCGCGGCCAAGTTCTCCAAGCTAAGGACTAGATTCTCTTCGACCTTGCACAGAATGTCCCAGACTTCCTCAGCCGCGAACGAATCGACGCTGAACGTGTTGTCGAGAATGTGGAAGTCCGACATCATTGTTCTTCTCGATATATGCTCTAGGCTTGTGAAGTTGCCGCTGATGACCCGATAGATCTCCAAACCCAAAGAAGAGCCACATGGAGAGAGGTCTGGAAAGGCGCAGACCAGATGCAACAGGCAAAATTCGGGGGTGCTCGCGAACAACCAAGACGAGAAGAAAAGCGAGCATGACGATGAAAATACGGTCAACAGGTCCGAAAGATGGTATGAAATGAGGGGCGGCTCCGACAGCAGAGATCATATGGCCTGGTTCCTGCTTCTGAAGGGCCAACCCAGCCACAAGAAACGACAGTGTTGCAGGTGATGGGAAGAACGTATCTCGAGAGCCTTGTTTTTAGGTATGGCGGCAGCGAGTTTGACTTCAGTCGGGAAGACTCACCTGGGCCCAAGGGAAACGTGCCAGAAGACGAAAGGCCTTGGACAGGCTTGACATGGACGGGAAATCAGGATACAATGACCCTTCCAGCAATCGAGAGCGACCCCTGAGAACAACAAGAAACCTTTTGGGTTTTTCACGTATCCAGTGACCGCTGCTCCGTCTACGATCTCTGCAGAAAGCGGGATAGAGTCCGACACCCAGAAGAGGTCATCCACAACCTCTATGGTGGCTAGCAAGCAGCAGTATAAGAGCCCTCGCTGGATGTCGTCAGACGCAGCAAGCACACACGAATGAAGGGACGCTCCGACGAATGTCCTCAGACAGCAGCGAAAGCGTGGAGCGCATCTCTCACCGCTGCAGGTTGTCGAACTGCTCGAACGTCGATTGCCAGTTTGGCACCCGGCTTTAGGCACTTTCCAGCGGCTTGACACTGAAATATACAAACAGTGAACAGTAAGTCCAGATGCAGTGAGCCAAACGCGCAACTACAGTTGACGTGCCGTATGGCCATGCGAAGATGGAAGGAGTATCATTGGTTTTACCGTCTTTTGTTTGTCGTCGCGGTAATGATCGTGATTTGAGTAAGTCTATATGCGTGGAGAGGCCTCTTTCCGATTCCGGCCGGCCAACTCGAGTCGATGTCACAAGTAGCTCCTCCAATCCTCATGAGTGGTTGTATGTATTGTCTAGCCGGGTCGTATACGATCGTTCGAGTAGTATGAGGGGAGTCGAAGACGGATTTCGAGGTATTCTGGTGATTCTTCTTGGTCAGCAACACCCCGATAACAAGTGAGAGTGGGCAGCATGCGTACGGAGAGACCCTTCACGCCGTTGATGATCGTTTACCTTCATTCACCGCATCGACTCGAAGTTCTTGTCCGGAAAACTAACAAAAGAATGTATCAGGCTAGCTTCCTTCAGGAGCCGCGAGTCATGTAGAAACAGACTCCTCAATAAACAAACTTGTAATCGGTCAAGTGCTGGATGGAATCGACAGTGACACGCAAATGAGAAGGACAGTCGCGAGCGAGTTGCCTGGCCCCAGCTACCAGAGCACAAAAGTGAAAAGCAATTGCAATATTGCCGTCGCGTCGCGTACTGATTCCTTGTCATTCTGCCTTGAATTTTGCTGCAGGTCGAAATTTGGTAGACGCTGTGACAAGCGGCACAGCAAACCAAGGACCGCTACATGCTCCCGGCTTTGATTTTCGACCCCGTCTATTGCTTGAGAGCGCCCGCCGCGAAATTTGCGAACAAAGTCTAGGCAGCAAGGCAGCCATGCTATACTCTAACGGGGCGATGGATTGCTTCACGGCGATAACGTAGGTCGTGTACGTACGGAGTAGACTCGAGGGTCGAAAAAACGCCTTGGGGGCGGCGCAGCTTTTCCCGTTGGACCCAGAATGCAACCTCAGCGGAACTCATGGCCGACAAAACACAGACCAAGGCCGTCTTTTGGACACGGGGAAGGCCACGAAGGCAAGATATCCAATGAAACACTCAGGACTCTCTCCCGTGGCCATTCAACAGCGCTTAGCCCACAGTTCGAATCCGAGATAGCAAGCTGCCCTAAGCTAGCTTTCCGGTGCTCTCGCAGTCATCCATTCCCGAGGATTGCCGGCTCATCTCAGCGTTTTTACACTTGGCCACCTGCATACCCACATTCAAATTCGAAATGTTGCCTAGATTTTGGACGGTGGCTAGATGCTATTGGTCTCGCCTAGAACAAGATACTCCTCGTCATCCCCCTCGCCCCTTGTCCGCCGAGCTAGCTGTCGGGACGGGTGGCTCCCGAATTTCCACCACCAAACCGGCCGAGAATGAAATGACACTGTGAGTCAAGTCTGAACTGGGGCGCGGGCGACCCATCAAGTTAACGGGAGGTACGGTGCGAGTAACCAACCTCAACTCATCTCACCGTAGCAGATCCTCATGGATACCAGACCACCTCAGGGGCCTGTTGCTTCATCGGCAGCCATTCCAGAGCCCCTGAAAGTTACTCCCTCTCCGCCTTGTTGAACCCGCAAGTATAGTGGTATAACCTTGTAGGAGCGCCTCTAACCAGACGTCCTCTTCGGTTCCGTATGGGCTTATGATCATATGCTATTTCCGGACGGCTTCCCCGTGCAGCTTCCATGCTGAGTGCCCAGATAGGCCCTGACGGCCAGCTTGATCGGGGCTGACAGAGCAACAATGAAAGACCAGGGAAGTTGTGTCTGAAATCGTAGCAGCCCTGGACGGCCCCGGAAGCAGTATGAAGTCTCGTCCCCCCTCACTTAGTGTTCTGCCTACAGATCCCACCCTTCGTGGGCATGAAGAGACGCCGGTCAGAACTCATATGGGACCATTATGAGACCCATAGCTATTGCAAGATAATGATCACACCCATCCAGCTCCTCGCCACCCTCTACGCTCCCCGGTGACGACCTCTGCAAAAGGAATGTGTACACGTTGGCGGCATTGCGAAACCACCCACTTCCCAAGAAGCACATCCCCCTTGGTTTTGAACGATGAGCTCCTTCGACACGACCAGGTCATGACTGCAGCCTCTTCCAAAAATGGTCAGAATGGCCACCATGTCGGCCCCTGTGCCTTCCGTCGGTGAACTCACCAAGGAGAAGGCCATGCCACTGCCACGTCAGAGTGAACGGACCGCCTTTGGCCTTTCCCTGTCGCCAAAACAAGGCGACGAGAGGCAACCACGGAACCCTGACACTCACAAGCAAGCTAGAGCACCGAGTGGTTTGCTCCCGGGCAGTGGTGTTGCCTGACAATTGCGTTGCCGGCCGTTCCCCGAGAATGACAGAGAGGAGCATGTCCCCCTATCCCTTTTCCTCGCGTCGCCCGTGACTCACCTTGAGTGACCAAAAGTAAGTATTCCATCTCATCGGAAGCCATACCGCTGCCGCGTAGACTGCTGTCCCTGTGACTTACCCCGTTGCCCAGCCTTTCTGGCCCCCTGAACCCATGGTCCTTGTCGTGGACGGTTTGTCCTGTGGTGTGAACCCTAGGATATGGCACATCTGCGAGTCTTCGCCCTAGTACCGGAGCAGTCTTACTGGCAAAGTTAGCGCTTCCATCGCCCCTGAATTGTGTCAAAGGTGAGCTTATGCCTGTTTCTTCTTTAAGCATGTGCCGCTCATCTTAAACTTTGTGCGAAGAAGCACGTCCTGTGATGGCGGCCGCTGCCGGAGCTAAGCTAGTCACCGTTCCTTGTTTCTGGATTCTCTTCTTCTTGCAGCAGACCACTTTATTGCACTGGATTCTAAAGCCGGGCCCCATACTACGGCGCTGCGAGGCAGCGTTGTCTTTCCGAAGGAATCCGTTGCAGCTTTAGAGGGCGCTGAGATATCCTCGGAGGCAGTTTCGTGCCTCCCAGGCCCTCGGAGCTGCTTAAAGCCAGAGTCATCCGTGTAGTGTAAATCAAGGACGTAGCCCTAAGTTAGCGATGACGCGAGATCACTGGGCGGTAGCTGCATGACCACCGTTCGAGGACCGTTGAGCAAAACGCCATACGTGGCTTTCCTCCTATGCTATCTAATTCTACCTATAAAAGCCCCAAAACATAGAGCAAAAAGAAATTACATGAGTTCAATCCATATTACATCGTCGTCGCGCGCCGTGAGATCTCCCTTTTCCATCCGTTGCCCCCTATTTGTTCCCAATCCCGCTTTTTATCAATAATTTTGTGTTTGGTGTCCTTTCTTTTGTCCCTATTTCCCCGTAACCTTGCCTCTTAAACCCCTCGTATAAAAGAAAGTAACATCGACCATCTGTCGGCGTCCGTGTTGCGAAGTCGGCTGCGAAGCCGCCCCCAAGGCTGTGCGGCAGCGGGACTAGGTCGAGGCCGTGGGAATGTTTGTCTGAGAGACGACGAGGTTGTGAATGATGGTTCCGTGAACTGTCATTTTGTTGATGTTGATGCTTCCATGAATTTCTCTGATGTCACTGCCAATTCCTAAGCTGGGCTCGGGGGAGCTAGTGGTGCTGTTGTCCGTTTCGTTTTCGACCGGATCCTTGACGTCTTGCTGGCATTCGCGGCAGCCATCTTGATGCCCTCTGACGCGATCTTGCCCATTGCGGTCGTTGCCCTTAAGGACGTATGCCCCGCAGGGCATCTGTTTCCCATGGCGAATGGAAATGTGACGTTGTACACAGTTGCCGGCTGTCCTGGGTTCCCAGTCGCAGCCTTCGACAGGGCAGCGGTTTAGCTCGGGACCCGGCGTGGACATCTGGGTCGCAATTTTGTAGTTTTGAGGGGTCAAGAGGTAGGTTGGGTATTGGGGTGGTCTGAAGGAGGAGGCGACAGAGATGCTAGAGATTGACGAGTAAAACTTCTAAAGAACGTGGACAGGATTGGGCTCTTTATATCTATTTCACTGCAAGTCTTCAGTTACCAAGATGGATAACGTAGGCAATTCGTGGCCGGCCGTCATGCATATCAATCTTATCGATATAAAAACGCCTCTCACTTACACCTGAACCAGTGTGCCTCTGCATACTGCCTGCCAAAACCCGATGTCTGCTGAGTGGGGCTTAACACGGTCCCCCGGCGGATTGCATCCTCAAACTTCTCTTCTATTGACGTCCAGAATCCCGTCAGACCTTCGGGGACACAGCGGTCATGTCACTTCTGCTCGTGGGCGGCCTGCGGGGATCGGGCGGCCGAGTTTCGAGCCCCCAGTGGAGCGGAGAATGACACCACCCCAATGCCACGCTTGCGCTCCTAAGATTTCGTTGGACGAGGTCGGCGATGATCTTGCCTTGTCGCGGGAGCAGAGATTGACGTCTGTCAGATGAATCTAAGTCAAGGCCACGTCTCTAAAACAATAGCCACGGATGAAGGGTCGGAGGTGTGGGGTTGTCATCTTGTCGTTCCCTAAGTCCAGCCATCGGATTCCGTCCCAGCCATAGCAAGATTTCAAGTGAAACGAGATGCCGGATAGGTGCAGATTGGTTTGCGCTGCGTCTGCTCTGACATGGTAAAAAGCCGACCTGGTATCTTGGCACCAGGGGTGTGTTTTCCTGTTGTGTCTGCCTCGCTGTTGCTTCTCCCTGTAAGTTGTTGCTGACGAGGTGGACCGTCCAATTACGACACCGACCGTGTACTGAGGTTCAAGCTCAGTCGGTGTGCAGCACCCTACTATGCATGTTTGTCCTCAGCTGTACAGTTGCTGTGCTTGACAGACTCGGAACCAATCATGTCACTCTCGAGAACCGGTCCCGCACCACCATGTATGCAATGAGGGCTCGGACGGTCGTAGAGTCGCCCACGGCCCGCGGGTGCGGGGCGAGCGAGCGGGTGGGCGTACTATCGTAACGTTTCTTTTCTATGGATATTGAAGGTCCAGGCCATCTTTCTAGGCCCTGTCGAAGCCGAGTTAGTCCAAATGTAGTTCTGTTAACGCTCATCAGGCGAGATGTCGCCATCAAAGTAGGTACAATTTCCTCATCGGCGGCATTGGACGACACAGAAGTGGCAACCCGCAGGAATTTCCGGCACCGACTAGACGGTTCAGGCCTGTGCCTATCTGAGCGGGTGTCACTTCCGGGGTGCCGGGCACCCATGTTCTGCCATTTCACACCCTCCTGTGGAACCTATGTAGAAGAAGCCTGTAGGCCGCCGGCCCTGGACCATGGACATTCTGTTTTGCGCCGGGGTGAAGTCCGAGAGATACTGTACTTCGATTGCTTCCCTTCTTGAGTTCAAGCCTGCGAAAAAAGCTCTTGAATGTGTGTGGGTGCAAGTCGTACCGTGATGCCGTCCCTGGCAGCCTGACCAAACCCTGGAAACATAATCTCAACATTCCTTCACCGACTTGAGCCACGCATTTTGTCATTTGATGATTCCATTTTTTTCTGTATAGGTGATGAAGGCACCACCTGGTCCACTTAGTCTGTTACCAGTATTCGAATGCTCAAGCTACGCTTACTGCTCCAGACTCCCGATCTGTGATGACTTGGCAAAGCAGAATGGCTGCCTGCTACCGGCTTCCCAGGACTTTCCAGGCCTGTGCCAATAAGCCTGCTTACCTTAGTGGAGCCCTCGTTGACGCGATTACAGGGTCAACCGCCCGTCCCGCCTACAACCGCCCTTTGTCTTCCTTTGTCTTCTACTGCCCATATCCTGACGACGATAAATGAGTCGCCAGCTTGCTCGTAGACCGTCCGCTGCTATATCGATGGTAGTTTTCTGATGCAGTCACGTGAAGGAGAGTCTGTGAACAGCGCAAGTCACCAGCCACAATAGCGGTGCCTGCCAATGGCCCACGTGGCCTAATCAACGAGACTAAGGTCCTTGGGGTTCAAGGTAGTTCAACGGCTGGTTGGTTACACGCCTAGCAATACGTCAAGGTTATGGACCCTCGGGTCATACCGACTGCAGACCTGCACACACCCAGTTGGCACCCCTTTACCAGATTCAGGACTGAAGAGCTTTCTGAGTGGGTGAGCCCGACGTCTCTGCGTCTGCCGCGGAGACAGATTCTACCGCGTGATCGTGACAAATGAACGAGAAACACTAAGGTGGCAGCGGTATCGGTGCATGCATAAACCCCGTCGCATACCATGCCAGTGCTATAGACTCCGTCATAAGGCCTGAGAGGCATGTCGAATGCGCAAGCTCCAATCGAACCTCACTCTGTGCCTCGCACCTGCTGTCTTGCTTTTGAATGCTGTGTTTCGCTGAACATGGTCAGTGTTGGTGGCGGCGCCACAGTGGCTTACCTATCCTTGATGTTGTCGAGGATATCCTAGCCATCCATGTCTCGTCACCTCAGACCAAGCATCACATCTCAGATTTCCGGCATTGCGCATCCTTGTGGTTTGGGCCAATCTAGTCGTTGGCGCAATCGTAAGAATACGGTAAAGGCTTCCAACCACCCACACTACCGGGTCGAACATTTTGCCGGGCACCGATATAGATGGGCGTGCGCGGGACGAACGCGCATCGGGCCGTGAAGAACGACGAACCAAGCCTCATGCGCCGCTAGAACACGGCAGATGAAGTCTTGACATGGAAAGGGGAGAGAGTCTTTTCATACACAAAAAAGAATTAAAATAAAATAAAATAAAATAAAATTTGAATAGACTACATCAAATCCAGAATTGGTAGAAACATTAAAAAATTTCCATTGGAATACTGCTTACAACGGCCCAGAGCTGGGTCCAGTGGTCGACACAGGCAGCGGGCGGACGCCGGTGCGAACCTGTCCGTTCGGGACCAGGTGTCCCACTTAACCGGCCTCAAATTACCCCGCCATCAGCCAAAGCTCCGAGCGCTTGTGCCAATGGGCCTACGTCAGTGCATTCATTGGCCAGCATCGAAGCTCAATGCGACCGCAGCAAACAATAATTATTCGCTCTCCAGCAGTACTAGACCACGGCGAGGTGTCATTTCAGTCGTCATGTCGAGGTCCGCCTTGTATGCTCATACAACATAATCAGTCATCAGGGGTGCCGCAGTATTCTGGTATACCTCAAGCAATTGGTGCTTCTTCGGGCGTGGATATTCTCGAGTTCTGTGGTAGGTACCCGCCAACGTTCGGGTGCTGCAAGAAGAGAAGCAACATGGACCAGCTCGTTGCAATTTCCCAGTGAAAAGTTTTCGCGCCGAGGTCTTGTCAAAGCGGTATAAGGCAACCAGTCCTCGGAAACAGGACGGCTTGCTCTCTGGGAAAGAACCGGGTACGAGGCGAGTTGGTGAGTTATGTCAAGCTTAAATTGCGCAGTTCGTGGTGCTAAGATTAAGAATGCAACGTCGACCCAACCAACTACCTGGCCGGTAGGCCGCAGTGATAGGCCACTCCAGCGGACAGAGACTAGTTCGCGCCGGGAGAGGGGCCGACGATGGAAGCAACGTTCCCCATTCAATCGATTGCAGGCGCTTGGGTCCAAAGCGGCGTCTACGTTGCGTTCAGCCCCCAACATCGCGCCGCATTCACTGCCAAAGCCGCCCCCTCTCCCTCCCCCTGGGCTCCCAATCTGTTTCACTCTTTTTTCCAATTTGGAATGTGCCCAGCGCGAGGACTTTGGTTGTTTAACTTGGACAGGATACCAGTGAGAGCCTACCACGATTGTCCAGTGCAGGCCCCTTCGCGACGTGCTGCCAACTTCGATCCTCACAGGGCATCGTAGGGCCACACCGCGGGTCTATCGCACAATTAGGATGTTGTTGCGCTATGGGTCAGGAAGCCCTTATTGATATTCCCATGAGCGCCTTCGGAGAGCACGCGCGGAGACACCGGACTACCGCTCCTTACATTGGCTAGCAACCATGACCTGCGTGGTGAGTCTTAACGGGGGGATTCTTGTAGAGATGGTCGGGCGAGGCGCACTAGTGTCTTTTCAAGGGATATTCTGAGGGTGTCGTGGTTCTGTGGATAATCACAGTGCTTGCCACCCCTTTTGTTTGCTTTTCGGGCGCGGACACGCCACAAGAGACCATGAGCCAGAGAAAAGCAGGCACGCACGCCCTCCCGCCCCTTTGGAGCCTCCCCGAGCCCTTACCATCTGCTCCAAGATGGACCTATTGAGCTAACGTATGCATCTCTACGGGTTTCTGGTTAGGATCAGAGTCGTCTAGCAAAACGTTACGCTCAGTCGCCGGTTAGCGAGGTACTGCTGGTAAAAGAAACCACCTCTTCTGCCACGTCACCCAGGAGGGAGGGCAGCTCACTAGCCTGGATCTATCATAACGCAGACCAGGCGTCCGTATACCCTGCGACGCACGCTGAATCACATCATCGACGGTCTTTGTACACATCCCTACCATAGTGCGTGGAGAGGTACCTATCATACTTCGGGGAGAGGTACTTCTCAGGGGCCGGCAATGGCCCGCCGGCTTGGCCAGTAACCACGGCGAGTAGACACTTCGATGGGGATGTGTCTGGTTCGCAAATCGAGTTTCTGGGCCGCCTTCTGGATCATGATTCACCCTACAGTAGTGGGTTACAGCGGGCAGGTCACTGGGGCAACACCCGCCATAAGGAGTAGCTAGCTCCATGACCGTTGCCTTGCTGGTCCACCCCCAGAAGACTTGGATAAAGTTCGAACGGTGAGTTTTGGTTATTTCTTTTTCGTACCTTCATCATCATGCTCGGGTTAGGGCAGGTCACCTTGACGACGCACATCCCTTTCCAACAGTGGCCCCGATTCTGTGTGCTCATCCTCACAGGTTCCCAGCTCGAAGGCTGCTGCATGTTATTTGGCCTGTCCACTAGTATTCCAAAGTCAACTGAAGAATGGACCCCGTCGAGTCCGTCATGTGGAATGAGTGGGCGGTATAACACTCTACGCAGACGTGCTTCTATAGTTCGGGCGGTTGATGAATATCCCACCATGGGGACTGGTTTGGGTAGCCGCGTTTCCTCACAAGTCGGTGTCATGGGCGCCAGTAGTCTCGTCATCGGTCTCGTTCTCGACGAAAGCCAAGATCGGTTGCAACGAGGACCTTCTGCTTTTACAGCTCTCCGCCAACATTGATGATGCGACGGCTAGCATTGGTGTCTGACCCGGAATGCCACCAGCAGTGGCTTCTTAGGTAGGACCTGATGTCGAGCGCTTGCACAGACGTGGTAGCCATGGCCAGCCCATCCCTCTTCCTCCGGCTGGCGTGTATCACGTCCAGAATGCTCGTCGTTGTCATCCACTGAGCTACGCTGCCAACGCCCTCCTCCCTCTCACCGCCGTGTGGATCTGAGCTCAGGCTCTGACGTCTTGGGATACTTGTCTTGTTGTTTCTCACGTCGCGCAGTCAGGCGACAAGACAACAGGATATTGATCGATTCATACTGACGTGGCTCGTCGTTCGCGTTCTTTCGAGTTGAGAATCAACTCACAAGTGATCTGGTCCAATCGAGTTCCACAGGGAGCCGGATGCGCGACGCAGCAACGGCAGGATGGACGCGACAGGTTCTTGGGCACGCGCAAACGCCACTTTGGGGGGAGTGGTTTCTTGGTCTTCCATCAGTGCTTAGGTTCTCAGCGTGTCATGTATGTGCCAAGACCTAGACAGGACTGGAAAATGCTAAAGTCTGCCCTCGACCTCGATGTCACGTTTGTCGTACCCTCGGCGGCCGACAATCGACGATTGGCGATAGCAAGACGAGTCTTTCGCGCCCACAGTCCGGCTCGCACGAAGCGGTAAAACGCCAATCGGAAAGGCCGAGGTCAGCTCCTGGGCGCTTGCTCTACCAACCTCGAGTCCGGATGGAAATTACTATTGTATTCGATGTGAAATTGGAGTGGATGGACGCGGGAAGTTTGGTGAAACTTCTCGGGTTACATAAGCAGAGACTGACATGTAAATTTCGTACCAAGGCTACAACCGTCCTTAGGCCTATCTCCTTGGACAATATCGTCGCCCGCAATAGAACGAAAACAGCATGCCAAGACCCCTGCTCATTACGCAAAGCCACAAATGATGCGATACAGGGCAAATGAGAAGTTGTGGATATCCCTGAAATATTGCGACTCGAGCACACCGACTTTGTTAGTCATTTCAAATCGCCATATTCCGTATTCCCGTCGAATCTCAAATCCGCCAACCGTTCATTACCTCGCTTCGCATTGGTTCGATACCGAAGAGTCCGAGCTGAGGGCCAAGACACCACTCACACTGTCTCGAAAAACTAAGGAGGCCCTCGTGTGCGTCCCTTTCAGCCCAGGCGTTAGCGCCTCTCTGTTCCCAGCCAGCAGAAAATCAAGACTAGTTGCCATGGACAGACAATCCATCACGTCTGAGGACCCCGGCTGAACCCGCCGCCATGTTGGCTCAGGTCGATCGCGTACTACAGTAACTCAATCTCCGCAAAGAACTAGCAAATGTCGTGACAGCACTTTCAAAAAATACATTACAAATAAGACAGAAGGATGAGCCAAGACACGCACACACCCTGTCTGCTCGAGGTACCCCGGACCTGTCAATGACGCTGACGCAGGACCCCACGTGCCAAACACTGGCTAACGGTCCACTCGTTTTTCGCAAAATGGGTGGCTCTTGTAAGTTGCCATCCGAACCCTCCACTACTGCAAAGCACTCCAGCAGCTAATTAGCTGAGTTGCAGTCGAAAACGCTCAACTGAAAACCTTGCTGTGGTTATGGTCGGGGTAGGCGAGCACAGTCCCGACTTAGAGTGAAAGGGGGACGGCCAACAGGGCTGACCAGACGGTTGCAGTTGACACGCTGCACCAAGGCCTGGGAGGTCACACACGATTGCCGGCGAAGGTTTATCGATATACGATACGGAGATACCACCATACAGTCAATCTGTCTTACGGGACTTTGGGACTGACGCGCTGAACTACCGTGAGGAAACCTTCCGAACATAAGGTCACACACCCTTGGTCGAGAGGTCGTTGGGAACGTGGTTCACCGAAGCTGCCCGAGCCTGACCGAGCCTGACCATGGTGAAAGATCTGTATGAGATGCCTCAATGTTGAGTCGCCGTCGGAGCGGCAATTTCTTTTTTCCCGGTAAGGTTACATCAATCCATATCTTCCAGGTTTATGGGAGTTTCTGCTTCTGGAGAGGAAACGAGGAAACTTCAGATTGGCCTCGCAGCGCCCGGAGTGCGATCGAATCATCTTGTAGAAGTGGTGAGGGCGCTGGAACAGCCACACCGCGAGGGCTGCCTACAGGAAATCCCTTCGGCTCGTGCGTTTGAACCATATATCGCGTCTGAGTATTAGTTGACTGGTCACCTATTTGGACGCAGCGCATTTGTTGACGGCTCTCCCAGATGAAGGCGAAGGTTTTTCGGTACCGGGGCACCTCGCTGCAGAGGCTCGAGCCTTTTGGAATCATAGGCCTGGCCCATGGGTTTAATCTCGTTTCTGAGATCTTTGAGGCCTACTTGCGTAATTGTCATCAGCTCCAGGGTAGGGGCGTCGGGCTGAGAAGCACGCTGGACCATGACCGGCCTCTTGAGGCTCTCGCTCACTGTCTCGCATTTCGCTTGTGTTTACCTGATCGGCCGAGTGATGGGGCGCAAAGACAAGGGTAAGTGCGGTGTTATCCCGGTAGGCAGTTCAACTCGCGCCAGTTCAACTCGCGCCAGTTCAACTCGCGTTAGCCTGACCCGCCCCCCCGATGAGACGGGAAGATATATCCGTAGCCGGCCTGTGCCCAATATTTCGCCATCGAGCGAACATCCTGTGCACATTCGCTTGTTAACGGGCTTCCAAATAGACAAACGCCCGTGCTGGCCTTAACTTTTCTCTCCCTCTCAAAAACCCAGGGGCCCCTGGCGTGGATGAAGCAGGCGGAGATGGTTCCGTCTTCTTAAGCCGGAGACACAGTGAATCGATCGTCCTTGTTCATCTGCTGGCAGGCCCCTCCGGTTGTCAATAGGCACATCGCTCCTTTGAACAACGGCAGTGTCACATCAGATGGAGATGCTCCTCCATCATAACCATAACCCAAGCATCTGCCCGTGGTTACGGTAGTCAGGAGTCTTGGACCGGAAACCCTGTGCGAAACGTGATCTAAGGGCCTCTTGCTTTTGATAGGGGTTTTCCACAATGCTTTTGACTACGTGCAACTCGTTTCAACATTCCAGTAAAGCGTTCAAGTACCCATCCCGACCACTTCCTACGCCCGAAATTACCATGTCCTTGACGGTTGCCTCCAAGGTTCCGATACCATGAACTGGAAGCTTCCCTTTCTGAATCCAAGCAATGTAAAGAACCACAGTTGCGGCAAGCGGGCCAAGAAACCATCATCTCTGCAAGCGAAAAAAAAAAAAAAAAAAGAAGTGTGAGCTCGTGGCCGCCAAAGGGGACTTGGCGCTCCCTTACCGTTAGAAACCCCCGGGAGTCGCCTCCTCCGGGAGACTTCCACCCACGAAATCACTCGCACCAGATGCAACGCTAGCTGAGAAGGCTTCGTTAAGCATGCTTGCAATGTCCAGTTCAGTTGCTTTGCAGATAATGCATGTCAAGAGATGTCGTTCTATGTTGGACTTGTCGTTCTTTCTCGACTTGATCTGCTTCTTGCAAGGCATGGGAACGTATACAGCAGGAGCAGTACCGTGTACTTCGCGGATGTGCCTCTTGAGACCGTCTTTTCTTGCAAACGGTTTGCTGTTGCAGCCGGGCTCCTTGCAAACGTATTTGTTACCTGAGGATCTTTTGGGAGACATCGTCGCGGTGTATGTGTGGCAGATCAAATCGAACGATAAGCTTTCAGGGGTCAGGAGAAGTGCAAGTCAATATCTAGACTCGAGAAACACACACAGAAGAAGGGTTGCCCAAGAACTTCGTCGCTCGGGGTCCCCCATTATATACTTGTTGCCAACCGAGCACCACAAGACGAAGAGTAGCAAGAGGGGGAGGAGGAATAGGCAGTAGAGAGGAGGGGAAAGTGGCCAACAATCGCGGCTCTGCAGAAGCCATCGTGATTGCCATACCCTGCCGGTCATTCTCTTTCCCCGAGAGGTACAGTACTTTTAGATAGGCACAAGAAGCCATCCAGCGTGAAAACTCGTCTCTTTCTTGGCCAGAAACTCCGGTCAGTCGGAACTAAAGACTCTATTTCAAATTGCCCTGGTTCAGTCGGCGACGAAGGACCGTCTTGCTTGTTACTGATGGAACCCCTCTCTAGGTCGGCATGCACCAACCCTTTGTGATTTTGCTTCAGAGTATGGTCCAGAATGGAAGACTCGCTGTCGCGTACAGTGATGAGGCGAGTCCCACAGGGCTAACGAACAGATTCCGAAGGGAACTCAATCGCCAACGAGACCGAACAGGGTCATAAAGATTTGCCGCCTCAGAGGTCTGAGCTCGACCCAGTCCCTATCTTGAGCCTAAGTAGCAACGCAGCGCAGATTGTTCTTCATGTTTACAATATTTTTAAACTACGAATCTATTTATCGTGAATGCGTAGTCACAACAGTGATGCAAGTCAATATCCAAGCCAGTCCGAAGGCAATGTACACGGTAAGGCTTCACTCCCCACCTTGCGAAGAGTACCACCTCTGTTGATGGCCGTCCTCAACGCGTCTAATTTGAAGAGTTAAAGAGAATGATTTGAGAGAAACTGGGCATGACTACACGTATTCCTCATGTGTTAACCTGTGCGAAACCATACTGCTTTCCCACTGTAGTCAAGTACCGCCCAGTTATTCGACCCTTTAGTGCAAATGGGTCAAGATCGTTATACACCACTGCACAAGGACCCCTTCCGGATTCAGCCTCTTTTCTTTAACTATACGCCGCTTCTTCAGTCGCCCCCAATCCTAGACCAAATGCACGCTGCTTTAGGTCATGTGCCATACGATGCGTCAGTATAGGGGTGCATGTCATGGTGAAGTGTCGACCGCACTATTGCACACTTACCGAGTCGGACCTGGCGGTCTCCAGCCCGCACATCATTTTGTCTTTCAACTCTTAGTATGTTGATCACGCGAACCATTTCGACCATTGTTGGCTTTTCCCACCTAAAATGGCGCACAGCTATGCCGATCTCCTCTCCTCGCTCCAAGGCTGTGACGGTGCCAATGACCAGGCCATTTCAACTCTCATGGTAGCGGTTCGCTTACACGAGGACTTTCTCTTGGTATTTTGATGATGACCTCTAGGTTGTGGACAGCGAGCGACATCAGAACAACGCCAGACTTCATTGAGTTGACAGCACCACTTCTTGTCGCAGCAGTGGAGTGCGTTGTAAGCAAGTTAGTGCTCAATCTCCCCTTCGACATTTACCAAGAAGAATGGCACGCAGTTCCGGGGGCCGGGGGTATCACGCTTGTCGCCCTGCCGTGGCTCGACCACTGACAGTTAAGGCGGCGAATACCCGCTCAGAGCGTCGGCATCGATATTCCGGCATTGCCAAAGGTGATACCTGGAGATTTTGTCAAATGTCGCCCGCGTAAGCAGAACTAGACCGGATACCATTCCGTCCCCTTCTTCCTCCTTCTTTCACGCATTCGTTTGGCTAAGAAACTAGCAGGGTATGGCCATCCCCTCCCGGTTGATCACTTTGTAGCCAACGTCTCTAGTGAGAGTTGCGCCACTTCAACTGGCCCTGCATGCTAGTTTTGGCATCTCTGTTGACCGCTCCAGACCTCGTGCAGCGTTTGTAATGAGGAATGGCGCTAGCATAGGATGCTCCCGGGCAACAGCCTGCAAGTTGCTCCCTATCAGAGGACTGCAGGAACTGCAGCTAAAGCAGATAACACGGAGACGATTGGCAGGGTAGCTTGCTTCTTTTCTTTTTCCTTGGCTGAGCGCCGTTGCATACCTTCGTCCACCTGCTCCCCCAGCTCCTTGTGCTAATCTTCTCTCTTTACGTTTGTTGAAAGGTAAATCACCAGCCTCGCCCATTCCCACCTTGTCGTCCTCATTGGAGCCAGGTGGCCACTGCCGTGGGGTCGAACGCAAACTTGCTCAATGTTTCTGTTGTTAATGCTTGGGCTTGCGGCTGATGTACGATGCAAGATAGGGATATGCTTCCCTGTACGGGACTGCTGCTACCACGTGCCGCCGGCCCACTCGCTGGGCATGGGTGCAACGCTGTGTATGGAGAGTATTTCTGCAACATCCACTGGACCAGATGCCGCGTTTTAGCGGACTTTGTGCTCTTTGTACGGTGATCCGTCTCCGGCATCGCCTTGGTGCAGCGGCCAGAGGACGTCGGTTATGGGCACTTGAACTTGTTAGTAACTGCTTCCCGGCCACTGTTTACGCCCATGTGGCTCAGCGTCTAGGGAAACACGCACATGGACGCCTATGTGATTACTCATACTGGTACAGCGTGCACGCCGACAAGTTTGCAACGGCGGTCGCAATACCTACTCTTCAACGAGACGAGGCCGGTTGGTAAGAAATTACAGATTAGGCAGGTTTGGATGGGATGATACGATGAGGCTGGACGACGGTAGGGGCGAGGACCCTGGTTCCCGGCCGGGTACATGTTCCTGTCACCCTGGAAGCCAGTGGTTGAGACTCAGTACGGATTGGACGAAAATTGGTGTGGGAGACTTCTTACAGGGATTTCGTGCAGGCGCCAAGGCAAAGCCATGGAGCCCCTTTTCCTCGGGTTGTGGGTGAATGGCTGCACGAACATGGGCTTGCTGAGGCCAGCTAGCCATCTAGCAAGGGGGTCCCTCACTTTCGCCCATGGCATTCATTTTTTTCTTACAGCCGGCTCACACGGCGCGTATAGCTTTGCAGCGGAGGAACACGAAAGCTGGGACTTTCGGATGCGTGAATGCCCTCCTCGAGCCTGCGGTGGCTCAACAAGACCAACGACAAGGACCACCGTTGATTCCCGCGCTTCCAAGACCCAATGACGAGACGACTTTTCCAGTCGAGCCGGGTGGTATTCCTCATGTGGATCGACGCACACACAATCTCAAATATTGCGTGCCGCTGGTAGACATCAAAGTGCAAAAACCTGCGGGCGTCAGAGGATCCTATCCTAGTAATGAGTTGGCGACGCTGATCGTCACCCAGCAGTCCAAGCCAAGTGAGGGCGACAGTGGTTCAACAGTTCCTTGAGGGAAGGGCCGTCTTCCGCTTTCCCTCCCGTCCCGACCCTCTTTCTCTCCTTTCTTTCTTCTTCTCCTCGAATACCTGAGGTCTCGGGAACGATAGATTCGCTCCACACACACAACTGGCTGACTGTCTCCTCGGCTAGCCCAAACCGGTCTCGAGAGTTAGAGGCTCTTCCTCATCGCCAATCAGCAGAGCACCATCTTCTCGGTCGGATTCGATGTGTTCTCATGCCGAGAGCTCATTTCTGCGCAAGAGATTTGTGGATGAGATGCAGGGGGCAGAGAAAAAACACTCTTCTTCGCCCCATCCCTCGAACTCGGGGGCTTTCCCCATCACTCCTTTCATCATATCGTATCCCCTCCTTCCGCCCCGTATGATACCGCTGCTAGTGGTTGTCGACATCATGTGCCGGTAACGGTGCTGTCGAGCTCTCTCTTCACCTGCTCGAATCAAAGAGGTGGCCAGCTTTCGAAGAACAACTTACGCGCGAGTGTCTTTGTCATTTTCCGAGGTCTAAATCTCAAGCCTAACAAGCTTGGAATCCAAGCGACTTCGTGGACAGACGAGCAGGCATCACCATCTCTCTTCTCGGCCGTACTGGAATAGCCACTGTGGCTCGGCCGGCGCCTATACTCGATGACGCTGCCCCAGAGCGCGGGGGAAACCAGAGTCCACAGCAGTCAAGGGAACTTCACAGTTAAGTCGTTAGTCGGTTCTACATACGCCGGTACTCCTTGGATTCGTCAATTGCTGTGTCCCTTTCAAAAAGGCAAATTGCACTAACTGTGTGAAGTGTAGAACGAGTACTCTGGCGCATTTACGAGAAGTTGACGACATTTGGACCGACCGTTCGCAGACCCCAAGTTCGCAAGGAGAACGAGCCAGACTATACAATTGCTTGCAGCTGGTATCAGTCGGTCAAGTTCCTTCGGCTGTTCTCAAAAGATTGGGTCAGGTGGGTGCGCTAGATGATGACTTCGTCCATTGACCCCACCACATGTCAGTTGTCACCCCGCATTCGATGCTACGGGTGGCTACAGATCTTGACAGCAACGGTTCCTTGCAACGTGGAGGGGACACGAAAAGGTTAAACTGACTTCATATCAAGGTCCATGGTCCCACTGACTCACTTCTGCGTCTTTGTGAGCGCGGCAGACATTGAGACTGACCTTCCACAACAGGCCATAGCGTAAGCGATGGCACGCTTGTTGTGCATGATGACACCGACCCCGCTCAGGGGGTTCCTCATCTCGCCACTTTGATTGGAGCTTCACGAAGTCGCTGCTCGCAAGTACTGCAGATGTATCTGCCCGCTTCGCAGGAGCTCGCGGCGCCGTGGCCGGCTGGGCTGGCTGGGCTGGTAACTGGTGAGGTGCTCAGGCTGCAGGCCACACAGGCTCCCCAGTAGATGCAGATAAATAATCAGAAAAGAAAACCTTCCGCAGGGAACATGTGCAAGGATTGTGAGCTAGGGTTTCTTCGAGACCTGTCAAGCTTCAACTCGGCACGGAACAGGCCGTATTGGGGAGGACCGGGCGTTTGAAGAATGGCTCAGCGAGGTGAAGGGCAATGCGACGGGAATAACTTCATTTATTTGCACAGCGGAGAAACTATACACCGATCGAGACCCAACTGAACCGCCATAAGCCAAGTACTCCTGCACCCATACACTCGACATACATTTTTTACTCATCGAAAGTGTCAATCAGGCTGTGACAGAAGGTTAGTACGGAGAGTTGCCCAACGCTTGCGAGGAACGAAGCTCACTAGGTTTCCCGCTGAGTCCAGAAAGCCTCGTCGAAAAACGGCATCGACGTGCAGCCGGCGGGTATGCTATTTGGGGTATCTCCGGTCATTGAGAGGTGGAATTGCTCGAACTCGGCGCCACTGACACCGACCATCTCATGCTGAGTGTCGTACTTGAGAGCATCTTCAGCTGGGGAGATCTGAAGGTGTCCAGCTCCAAGGCTTCTGTGGTCGGAATCAGGACGGGTCTGCAGTTGCAGGGAAACGGGAAGTCCCGGTTCCCTCGTGGCGTCCACGTGTGGAAACTCTGTAGTGTGACAAAGATCGCTCTCCGTTTTGATTCGGAGACTGTTGTAACGCTGGTCGAGGTCGTTGGCACCGAATGGGATGCCGTTCTTGAACGGAGTCCTCTGCTGAGCCTTCTGATAGCTCTTGAGCAACTCGTTTGTGGTGTTTCTGGTGACTGCGTCAGGAGATCTGAGACCTCTTTCGGTATCAAGCTGTCTTTGAATCTCGCTCTGGCATTGACCACAATTCTTGATGTGGCGCCTCATGTTCGACTCGTGTGTTGCGCGTATCCTTCCGCAAAACATGATGGTCGGCGGAGAGTGCTTTTGGGTCATGTGTCGATCGCGATTGGTTTTCGTTGAGAAGGGTTTGGATTCGCAGCCGGGCACCTCACAAGGGAAGCCTGACCTATCCAGGCCCGGAAGCTTCATCGTGATCCAGGATCGTGAACCCACTCTTGAAAGAAAGACGACTATCTCATGATGTATTGGACGCAAAGATGGCGAGTTTGGCCGTTTCCCTGCATTTCGGAGAAGTTGGTGGCTTCCTTTATATCTTTAGGGCTATGAAAGAAGCACCTGTGACGTTAAAAAGAAATACTGAGGAGGAGGAGGAGGATTGATATGCGATGGGAGACTGATGGGGACTGGGACGGAAAGGAAGAGGGGCCCTCGGGCCGACGATAAGCTTGAAAAAGTAACGTGAACGAGGGACCGGGAAGCAGAAATTCGCATGTTCTTGGCTTTGGCAAAATCTGGCTTCATCGCTGAGTTATTGGAGTCGCGAGCAACAGCGATGGGTTTGCAGACGGCGTATGCTACGCGACCCGCGTCAACCCGAGACAAGGAACACATTTTGATGCGAAGTGTTTTTCTCTCCACCAACCCCACCGGTTGTCATAGCCGCAGTCGTTGTCGCAGTCGTTGCCGCAGTCGTTGCCGCCCTGGTTGCCGCACTCGCTGCCGTACTCGTCGCCGTACTCGTCGCCGCTGCCACCCACCCTGCCTTGCTTGGCTCTCTGACGTACATGGTATAGCTTCGGTTACTACCCTTGACTGGTTTCAAATGCTTCTTGCTGGCCTCGAAATCGGCACCTTGCATGGCCTGGCCCGGTCTGGCACTATAACGGTTTCTCACTTTGGGCCTTGGGCCCGATCCGCTCCATCTTTCGACAAGTGAGGAAGAGAGATGCAGCGTAAGTTGGTTCTTCTATTACGCTAACCCTTGGGGATCCGAGTGTTCTTTGATGTCTTGATCGTTGGTGAGGACGAGGATGGCGATTAGAAAAACCGAGCAACTATGCCACCTTCAAAGTCAAGGGAGCAGGCTGTTCGTGGAAACCTCCAGTCATCGTGATATGGTTCACCCGTTGGATACCAAGGGACTCGACTTGAAGTCTGACGGGCTCGTCTGTGTTCTTTCATCTTTCCTTTTTTACTCTTTCTTCCGTCTAGGGCAGGTCACTTTCCTCACATCCCCCCCTTTTCCACGTCCCCCTTTCCTCATACCTCTTTCCAGCAGCGGCCAAGATCACGCACCTTCATCTCGCCAAGGCCTTGATCGAAAACTGCTGTGTGTCATTTGACCACCCTCACTAGTGATCTAGAACCAACTGAGGGACGGACATCACAGATCCCGCGGTGTGAACAGGCGAAGCAGCACTCCGCAAAGACGTAAACTTGACGCGGAAGCACACGTGTCAGCGTCCATGTACCCTCAGAAGACCGTCTGGAGAAAAAAACGTCATGATTTTATGTCCTCATCGTAGTCATTACAGGGTTATCTCCCAAGTAAAGTAGCAAGAGCAGAGAATGTCATATTGATACACCGGATCCATCGCATGCCAAACCTCATCATACCTTTCCTTCATTAATTTGCACCACTCTAATGCCCTAATATTCCCAAGTTCGCTTGAAGAACCAGTTCCCGTAATGTCACTACCCGCTGTTGTATGTATACGCTCTTCGCAATATCGTCAATATGCCGTCTCGGTGGAGGTGCTAGTTCGAGTCGCCGCTGCAGCTACGAGATGAGGAAGAGCATCCGTTGACCGTCAATTGAATGATTCCATAGTTATGGCCGTTAAAGAGCATCCATCTGTTTTGACTGGCCGGGGAGGCCTCGCCTTCTCGGATATCGGGCTCAGGAGTACCATTGGAGTCAGAGCCGCCATCGTTCTCGATGGACGGAATGACAGCCGGCGCCGCTAGGCTCCCAGGCTCGCAGTAGCCGCAGTTTTCTCGGTGCTTTCGCCTATAGTGGTTGGTTTTGATGGTGTATTCTCCGCATAGCATCTGTTCTGGAGCTTTTCTGTGGACATCGATAATGTGGCCGCGGACATCGACGTCTGATTCGGATTGCCAACGACAGTGGCTGGCCGGGCACTTCTTGAGGATCGGTGCTCTCGCAGACATTGTGTTTGCTCAGGTAGTCGATAGCTTTGTGCAAGGCGATTGGGAGGAGGGTCGGTGTGTGATGAGACAGGATAGATGGCGAGCGTTGCTGAATGGTCCCCTTTGTGAGGATCCAGTGGAGGGGCGGACGGTTTTATATGTTGCCTTGCGCGTTGAGGATGCGATGGGAGTCATCGGACAGCCCTGCCAATGTAAAGATTTAAGCTCATATTAGAAACGTTTGTACAAGGCCCTTTGATAGCATATTCTCCGTCCCGGAGCCGAAGCCGAAAGTCTTCTTCACCACACCACTGCCCGTCCCAGCTTGGCTCCCCTCCCTTCACTCCTCTGCCTGCCCTCAACTCCCCCCCCCCAACCCGCCAGACTCCGCTGATTTGTTAGCTGCAGATCCAGTACAGTCGACCCCTGCAATGAATGTCCTATTTACAGCTGACAGAATTAAGGAAAGATTAAATTGCGACACCTCTCAGCCCTGTTATGAATCGCGCGGTGACGAGGGCAAGCTCAGGATTCTTTTTGCTTCCAAGGCACTTCCAGGCATCATCTTCCATCCCGGTCGTCCTTCAATCTGTCCGAATCCCCACTTGCTAGGGGTGAACCGGGTACAGTACAACAGGTAGCCGTGTGCACCACACCTCAACGTGAAAGAAAGCAGTGCGTGCACAGGTCGGGCGACTCTAATCTTTGGTGAGGAGGGGGGCGCACTCGAGACGCGACTACTGACCGCACTTTCGGACGCGCCAGCGTGTGGGGCTCACGCAAAGAGGCAATCTCGGGCCGGAAGAACAGAAATTGTTTTACTCCTTCATCGGGGACAGCTACCAGTGTCACATTTGTGCCAAGACCTGCGCAGTGCTGAAGAGTGCGAGCCTGTTCTCTGCCTGGCCATCCATCTCGCCTCACATTACCAGGTCTGTCGGCAAGGGTGAGGGCAGAGGTTGGAGTCTTCGGTGTTCCGAATCCAATCAAGTGGCAGGAAGGTGAGGAAATAGTGTGCCGGTGCGCCGGCGGCCGCTCGCTCCTTTCTATCGTCTCAACCAATACTTTTTTTCGAATTGTTTTCATCACAAAAATTGCAGTTATATGTATATTAGGCGGTGAAGTGTTGTATGGGCGACACGTTTTTCCCCTACCCAACGGAGTGGTAAGCTCAGTAAACTGGGATCGGGATCTACTACCCAGGGCCTCCTTCATTAGCCAGGGCAAGCATCTCAGTGGAGACGGGACTGGCCCCCGGTGGCCTGGCAGCCTGGATCGTCGCTCAGCAGAGACAAGCCTGCTTATTTTGCATAGTTCCATTCCTCTTTGGACACCCCCGACTCTCCGAGAACACTCTTGGCAACTTATGAAAGGGAGAAAAAATGGATGCTAAGGGCCCCGCTTGGTTTATACACTTTGATAGATGGTACGATGCACGGATTGGAAAAAGCAATGAGTACGAGCTGACAGCCAGTGTACCGTCTCTAAGGGCATACGAGGCCTGAGAACCGAATTTTTTTTAAACATGTATTCTTTTAATGCGATTTCCGTTTTCCCGTTGATCACCCTCCAACATGAACGCTCCTCCCATACCTTCTTCTTCCCTTCCTTTTCGTTCCTCGCTCCTGATCTCTACCTCTCCCGACCACACTTCACCCCGCTCGCTCGACCTACCCTACTCGGCACTCCCCTGCTTATTACTCAGCACACATCTGCTGCCCCTCCTCTCGTGCGCTTCCTTCGACCTTGTCGCTCACAACCCTCCTACCCATCCTGAGGTCCACCCGCTCTCTGTGTACTATCACACCCTGTTCCTTATCGCACTCGTGTCTCCTTTGTCGCTTCCCTCTGGTAGACATATGAACCCGGAACCGCCTCTGAAGTTTGCCAATCGTGATAGGTAACGGCACTGTCTTCTTGACCATTGTATGTGATTGCAAGTACCCCAGACTACCCTCAGTGCATAGCGCCAACCCACAGAGCCTGCAGTTATCCTCTGCAACTCTACTCTCTCGGTCGGCCAAAGTCTTTAAACCAGACTCGACTACAACGTCTCTGTTATTGTAATGCCAGGGTACTGACACCATCGCCTCGTAAGCTCAGGTGTCCCAAGAACCGTTTTACACGAGGGGCTCTGCACACGTTTTGACAGCAAAGGTAGTACGGCGGGCCGAATCGATGGATAACACTTTACAGAAACAGGTTTAGATTCTCAATGTATGTCTCAGTTACAGAATCGAGGCTGCCGTCGTCAACGTCTTAAACTTGGTGACAGTCTCCAGCTTGTGTGTGATAACAATTGGCCCTGATGCATTGACAACGGTGTAGCTGAGGCTTCTCCATCGGATCGTTACCCCCACTTCTTTACGTGCCACTGGTATCGATCTTGATGCGCCCTATCCCTGAGGCAGAGGAAACTCGTGTCAGTTGAAGTGCAGTAAACGGCTAACTCTATTTGAACCTCTTTCTGTGTCTTACGCCCCCTTGTCATTAGCGTCTGCATCACTGACGTTAGGCACAGACGTTGGGCTTGTATGGCCTTTGTGCCATCACCTCTCCCACTTGGTCTGTCTCGTCCCAAGCAGCCGTGCTCCATTATGCAACTGATTGCTATTCTGACAGTATTTCGCTAGGTCATTGGCTTAATGCCCCACGAGTAATGGCTCGGAAAAAGAAGACGTCGACACCTGATCCAATAGTCTTGGTCCGGAAGGTCATTGAGCGATTAATCATGTGCACAACTCGCTAAATGATCGCTCCTTGACCCTGGATCCCAGTAGCTAATTCGTAAGCGTGGAACAGTGACCAGTCACATTTAGGGTAACGCAAGGAGATAGGGCCTGAAGCTGGCTTCATACAAGTGACGGTTCGGCCCGAGCCGTTTCCAAGGGCGATATCCCTTTGAGAGTCTATGGGCTATTCGTCGTATCACTGATATCGCCTTCCCTCTTTCACAGGAGCATCCTCCAATAAGCCCTGAGGCTTCCTGTACGTCACAGATGTTGGATGCCTTCACTCATTGTTTGTAATGACCTATACTGAATCATTAAACAATACAAACCTGCTATGCTCTCTGAAACTCGAGTTGGATTGAACAAGCGAATATACAGTCCTTCGTTTCTCCCAGAAGCAGACCCGGCCAGCCTGTCCCTTGCTTTTGACAAGCAGGTTATGTTAGAACTTCAGCATTGAACCTGAGTCAAAAATACCTGAAGTTGTCAAGAAGCGAACGATGGATGCTATGGATGTGCGGTGTCACCGGGATCCAGAGCCGATAAAGGTCCGTCCGCTAGATTTCGGCATTTGCCCCACTCCGGCCGACCGGAGCGCCCAACCATATTTGTCACATCGACCCTCGCTACCCCTTTTGGGCGGCTGCCCTGGGCTGTTGCCACTATCCCATCGACTGCCACTTGACCCCATTTCTACCAAAAGGGTAAAGACCCAGTATGTCCCCACTTTTACTCCGCACTTTAACCGGTGCATGACGAAACACCATTTCCCCCTATGTTTTTATACCTACTATCCCTACCAAAACAATCATTTCAATTGATGCCGTAATGTCTTCTAGTGATTCTAATGCTTCTGATGCTTCCGGCGCGTCCGGTAGCTCCGTACGGAGCTGTATAGTCGTTTCGATTCAACCGGAAGATCTGGCCACCGCCTGTACTACGGACTGTACGCCGGAGCGATGCGATAACAGCACAGTCCGGCCCCACGAGCCTCTGGCCGAGCCTGGGCCTCCGGGCTTCTTTATACCCTTCGATGTGCCGACCCGGGCCCGGCGGCCCATATCCAGGAAACCAGGGATTCCTTCTATACAGCCGGCTCCGACCTGACTGTTGACGAGGCTATGGTCCGATTTACGGGCCGGTCCCGGGAAACAACGAAGATCCCGACGAAGCCGATCCCGACCGGCTTTAAGATATGGATTCTTGCCCAATCGGGCTACTGTCCCCGGTGGCTCTGGCACGTACATAAGAAGGGCCCGTATGGACTAGTCCCACAGGCCCGGCCCGGCCCGGCCGGGCTAGTGATACCGGAAATTCAGCCCTTTTAACGCCAACGCAACGGGTAGTTACTACACTTATTGCCCTACTTCCGGCCGCAATATACCACGTCTTTCTAGATAACCTCTTTTCTTTCGTCCGGCTCTTTCAGGCCCTCCGGAAGTTACAGGTCGGAGCTTCTGGTACTTGCCGGAAAGACAGCGGGATAGATACAGCACTAGTTGCCGAGAAGGAGGCCGAGGGCCGGGGGGTCCCATGGGGGAAGATCCATTGCGTCCCTACTTCTGATGGGGAGGCATGGTATCATAAACACGTTGAAAGAACCCGGGTTGTGAATGCCGGTGCCAGCGAATTGCGACAGAACCCCAGGGCCTACAGTAGACCCTGCAGCCATCATCTCGGGACACTGGTGTCTATGCAATTCGACGCTCCAGGAGTCTGATTATGCGGTCAAGTTGGAGGCTCGTATGTGAAGTTGCTGTCGCTTGGGTCAGTCGTCTTTGGACGGCCGGCGGGATGATTGACGATGACAAGTTAGGCAGGCTGTGTCCTCATGAAAGGAAACAATCAGGCTGAGCGGCAGCTGGCGGGCCAATAGGGCTCCCATGACGCACCCATGTGAGGGGGTCGGCGTTGCAGACTATCCATGTGGAAGTACTGCTGTTCCCTAATCACCAACATTTATCGGAACCTAGTGGGCACCCCACCACCAGGCACCTTCGTAAACCGCTCATCCACCGTACTTCATCGCCTTCATGGGACCTTTTCTGCGTTCTCGCCGCATACGTTTACGGCAATTTCGCTTTTGACAGCGTCGACACTTCGTATTGTAAGCCTTACTGTCGCTCACTAGCACGGACCTAGGACATCACAATGGAGACCGGGCTGCGGACCTACGAACGATACACCGTCGCGGTGGTATGTGCCATCGAGTTCGAGATGAGCGCCGTCCGATACATGCTCGACCGAGAGCACCCCAGCCTGCCGGCCAAGGAAGGTGATTCGAACATCTACGTCCTAGGCGAGTTGAGCGGACACGATGTGGTGCTTGCGTGCCTCCCCGGAAGCCAAGGGAAAGGCGCCGCCACGACCGTCGCGACGAACATGGCCCGCACCTTTCCTTCCATCAAGTGGCGGTTTTTCGTCGGTATCAGCGGAGGAGTCCCCAGCAACAGGCACGACATCCGTCTAGGCGACGTAGTCGTGAGCATACCCGAGGGGCAACACGGCGGCGTCGTCCAATACGACCTGGGGCAGGAAACAGACGACGGTTTTGTACTCAAGGGGTTCCTCACGCCGCCACCGTCTCTCTTAAGGGCAGCCGCTATAAAGATGCGGTTGGACCACTTGGCCAGCGAAAACAAGATCAAGGACTTCTTGTCAGCAATACTGCGAAAAGGGCGTGGCCTTTCTATTTATCGACAGCCATCCAGTAGCCTCAATGTGCTGTTTAAGTCAGGGTTTACCCACAAGCCTAAAAACGCCACATGCAAGAAATGCAACAAACAAAAACGCGTCCACAGGATACCTCACAAATTTGAGGGCCCTGAGATACACTACAGGCTAATTACTTCTGGTAATTACGTTGTAAAGAGTACTATAAAGAGAAACGAAATTATTTATAACATTAGCGACATACTCTACTTTGAGATAAAAGCTGTCAGACTAATGACGGAGTTCTCCTACATTGTCATTCATGGCATCTCAGACTATGCTAACTCTCACAAGAACAATGACTAGTAGCGCTACATAGCCGCAACCACAGCTACATGCACAAAGGAATTACTTACTTATATAGATCCTGTAGTAGCCCATGTCAGGTCTACTGAGTCAGCGCTGAATGGCGGCAATAGGCCGGCCTCCGGCCATAGTTTCCACGGCATAGGCATCCAAAATACCAGAAGCTTCTCCGTCAGAAAGAATCTGAATATTAGGGGATATCCCGGGACCAGATGATAGGGTAGGGGGTAGGCCAAAGAGTCCTACTGTCTATCATCTAATAAAGTGGGAAGCTGGAAAATGTATCCGATGTTGAGAAGACTGTGTATCTATTGCTCTATCATTCTCATAGTACCTACACAACAGGCTTGTCCAACATTATTCATCATCCCTTGGACGTTATTGCAAAGCGTTGTTGCAAAAAGCATACCACAGAACGACCATCCACCAACTCAGTCTTCCTTCCAAAGTGCACGTTCTCCCACCATCACACAACGTACATATCGCTCATCGGACATTGCTCTAGCCAGGGTTTTCTTACGGAGCACGGCCGGTGGCCGGCTTGTCGCCGCTCGACGCCGGGTCTGTGGGGATGCCGACCCAGCATGCCCGGCGGGGGCGACTGTCGGATCTCGTCAGGCAGGCAGCCTTTAATGCATGTGGAATCACAGTGCCGATTGTCGTTCTTATGGAAATCGGCATAGTTGGAGATGCTACAGATGACAGTCCAGGAGAACGCTGTCATAGCTGTGTAAGGCAATGGGCTCACAATAGTTAGCAACATCGGTAAGACCACGTGTAGTGTTATCAATTACGTGAGATAAGCTGGGTGCGGGGTCGCAATGGGTTTATGCTCAGAGTCGCACATCCACATTCGGGGGTTATGGCCAGGCACTCCAAGTCAACAGCGGCAGGAACCTTTTCCAGGTAGTACGTTTGTAGAGATACAACCTTCAGGGATTAATTATTATCGCTCAAAAGTATCTATTAGCGCCTGTTTGTTTAACAGCATGGGATTTACACATGGTGGCCAAGCCGTACGGCCATAATACAGGGTTTAGCAGTTCACGCCTACTGTCAGTTGCTGGGTGCAAAACCAACTGCCCAGGGTATGTGTTCCAGTCCGGGGCAGGCGCATGTAAGCAAAATCCTCGCCATTGTCAATCGCTCAGCCTGACCAGACAAGGCCGTTGGTAACAGCGTGGCCCCGGCTTTTGCCATTCTCCATAACTCGAATGCCTGCGCAATGGAGCACAAAGATAAAAGGCCGCGGCCTGACCAAGTCTCCGACCTCGATGAAAAGCCCGGAAAGCGACAGGCCACACCAAACGCAGTGTATCGAAATGACAGTAGCTGGGTACACCACATCCTGAAGCAGCCTGATGTTGGGTTGAGTTTTGATGGTAACGGTATTCAAAACTCGGGCGGTATCAACGTTGGCGGGGACGTAAATATCGGTTAGTGGTTACAATATATTGACCACATCTAATAGTCAACTAACAAGTCGGCCAGGCGTCCAGAACCGCTCCGATCAAGATACCAAGTTCCTCGCCGACCTGCGATCCACCGACCCCCACGACGATAAGACGCGTATCGAGCGCACCAAGGGCTGCCTGCTGCGCGACTCGTACCGCTGGATCCTCGACCACGACGACTTCCGCCGATGGCGCGACGACGACGACCAAAGCCGACTGCTCTGGATCAAGGGTGATCCCGGCAAGGGCAAGACGATGCTGCTTTGCGGCATCATCGACGAGCTGGAGAAGACGCCTGCAGACACACGCACCCTGTGCTACTTCTTCTGTCAAGCGACCGACTCGCGCCTGAACAACGCGACGGCCGTGCTTCGCAGCCTCATCTACCAGCTGCTTGACCAAAATCCCTCCATTATTGGACGCGCACGAAAGAAGTACGACCACGCGGGCAAGAAGCTGTTTCAAGACGTTAACAGCTGGGACGCCCTATCCAAAATGCTCTTTAGCATCTTAGAAGAGTCAAGCCTGCAAAACACCTACCTAGTGATCGATGCGCTTGACGAATGTGAGACGGACCTCAGCCAGCTTCTACGCCTGATCAACCAAGTATCGTCGTTATCCCATGCGAAGCTGATCGTATCCAGCCGCAACAGACACGATATCGAGGATAAGTTACGGCCTACCGAGACCCAGACGCGACTCGTCCTAGAACTGAAGGAAAACGCGCAGCATGTATCCTGGGCTGTTGATACGTACATCTCTCAGTGTATTTCAGAGCTGATGCAACTACAAGGAGACAAAACACTCCAAGATCAACTCCGGCAGAAAATGCAGGTCAAGGCTGAGGGGACTTTCCTTTGGGTAGCCCTGGTCGTTCAAGAGCTTCGTGAGGCGGAGGCCTGGGATGTTCTAGAGATTATAGACGACATCCCGGCTGGGCTAAACGAGCTATACAAACGGATGATGCGCCAGATCCAACGGCTACAGCGGAAAGATCCCGAGTTCTGCCGCAACATTCTTTCGACTATCACTACTGCCTATCGTCCACTTCACCTAGATGAGCTGCGGGCCCTTGCCGACTTGCCGCCAAACATATCGAACATACAGCAGCACGTCATCAAAATTGTGGCTTTGTGCGGGTCATTCCTCACAATACGAGACAGTGTTGTTTACCTTGTTCATCAGTCAGCTAAGGACTTCTTGACGCTAGACAGGCAGCTTTTTCCATCTGGCTTGGCAGTAGGGCACAATACCATCGCCTTAAAATCGATCCAGGTCATGTCGAGAACACTTCGACGCGACGTGTACAGCCTTCGCGCGCCCGGGTTCCCCATCGACCAGGTGAAGCCGCCCAAACCCGATCCACTAGCGCCGGCCCGGTATTCGTGTGTCTACTGGGTCAACCACCTGGCGGACGGGAATCCCGCCGGACAGGGACAGCGCGGCCAAGGACTCCGGAACGGCGATTCGGTTTATGCATTTCTAGAAAAGCACTACCTTCACTGGCTAGAGGCGCTCAGCCTTCTCAGGAGCGTATCAGAAGGTATCCTTCAGATGTCGGAATTAGCACATCTAGCTCAGGTCCGTCTCAGTCAATAGGTCTAATAGAAGCTAAATAGAAGTACTGACGCTGTATAGGTATCAATAGAAACACATAAGCTAACGCAGCTAACGCAGCTAGCTCAGCTGGCTAAGGATGGACTCCGGTTTCTTCGGACGCACAAAGCAAGCATAGAGTGCATTCCGCTTCAGACGTATGCTTCAGCACTTGTGTTCAGTCCAAGGCGTAGCATTATAAGGGAGCTGTTTCGTCGGGAGGAGCCTGGCTGGATGGTCACAAAGCCTATTATGGAAGATGAGTGGGATGCTTGCCTGCAGACGCTGGAGGGCCATGGCGGCTCCGTCAGGTCGGTGGCCTTCTCAGGTGATGGCACGCAGCTAGCGTCGGCGTCGTACGACGAGACCGTCAAGGTTTGGGACGCTGCTACGGGCCAGTGTCTCCGGACGCTAGAGGGCCATAGCCACGGCGTCAGCTCGGTGGCCTTCTCGGGCGACGGCACGCAGCTAGCATCGGCATCAGACGACCGCACTGTCAAGGTCTGGGACGCCGCCACGGGCCAGTGTCTCCGGACGCTCGAGGGCCATGGTAACGCTGTCAGGTCGGTGGCCTTCTCGGGCGACGGCACACAGCTAGCGTCGGCATCGTACAACAAGACCGTCAAGGTCTGGGACGCCGCCACGGGCCAGTGTCTTTGGACGCTTAAGGGCCATAGCCACGACGTCTACTCGGTGGCCTTCTCGGGCGACGGCACGCAGCTAGCGTCGGCATCGTACGACCAGACCGTCAAGGTCTGGGACGCTGCCACGGGCCAGTGTCTCCAGACGCTCGAGGGCCATGGCAACGCCGTCAGGTCAGTGGCCTTCTCGGGCGACGGCACGCAGCTAGCGTCGGCATCGGGCGACTGCACCGTCAAGGTCTGGGACGCCGCCACGGGCCAGTGTCTCTGGACGCTCGAGGGCCATAGCCACGACGTCTACTCGGTGGCCTTCTCGGGCGACGGCACGCAGCTAGCGTCGGCATCGGACGACCGCACCATCAAGGTCTGGGACGCCGCCACAGGCCAGTGTCTCCGGACGCTCGAGGGCCATGGCGACTTCGTTAGCTCGGTGGCCTTCTCGGGCGACGGCACGCAGCTGGCGTCGGCATCGTACGACCAGACCGTCAAGGTCTGGGACGCCGCCACGGGCCAGTGTCTCCGGACGCTCGAGGGCCATAGCCATGACGCCAGCTCGGTGGCCTTCTCGGGCGACGGCACGCAGCTAGCGTCGGCATCAAGTGACCGCACCATCAAGGTCTGGGACGCCGCCACGGGCCAGTGTCTCCGGACGCTCGAGGGCCATGGCGACTTCGTCAGCTCAGTGGCCTTCTCGGGCGACGGCACGCAGCTAGCGTCGGCATCATACGACCACACTGTCAAGGTCTGGGACGCTGCCACGGGCCAGTGTCTTTGGACGCTCGAGGGCCATAGCCACGACGTCTACTCGGTGGCCTTCTCGGGCGACGGCACGCAGCTAGCGTCGGCATCAGACGACCGCACCGTCAAGGTCTGGGACGCCGCCACAGGCCAGTGTCTCCGGACGCTCGAGGGCCATGGCGACTTCGTCAGCTCGGTGGCCTTCTCGGGCGACGGCATGCAGCTAGCGTCGGCATCATACGACCAGACCGTCAAGGTCTGGGACGCCGCCACGGGCCAGTGTCTCCGGACGCTCGAGGGCCATAGCCGCGACGTCAGCTCGGTGGCCTTCTCGGGCGACGGCACGCAGCTAGCGTCGGCATCGGACGACCGCACCGTCAAGGTCTGGGACACCGCCACAGGCCAGTGTCTCCGGACTCTTAATGTTGGTCAACCTCTTTATCAGGTTTCCTTTTCAAACACCGACCCGCATCTCCTCTACACGGAACTAGGTGTTATCAATCTAGAAAGGATATCCCCCACTACTACTACTACAACCACAACAGCATTATTATCGCTGACGAGCGCAATGGAGACGCCTCATTTTTACGGCTATGCAGTGAGTGCGAACGGAGTGTGGATTACACGGAACTCTAGAAACGTGCTGTGGCTGCCGCCAGAGTACCGACCGGCGGAATCAAAGGAAAATGTAGTTGTAGGGTCTGCCGTAGTAGGGTCTACTGTGGCCATTGCTTGTGCTTCAGGCCGTGTTTTGGTTTTTCGATTCTCGGAAGAGGAGCCAACTGTGTAGCAGTATCACCACCCTTTGTTGTTTTTCTTTCCCCGCTTCTTTTTTCCCCTGCTTTAGAAACTTATTATTCTTACCTTACCATAGCGTGCCACGGGAAGGGCGTGGGAGAAGCTGGTTTCTTATAGTTTATTAGCACTGCACAAGCATCTTCTAGACGTTTCGATCCTATCATTTGTATTACCTTCTCTAAGGCTACTTTTTGCTATCTCATAACGTTTATAGCGGTTCTAGAGAATTCTAGCGTGGCCATCTGCCCCGGGGTCTATTAAGGCACTTGCCGTAAAGAAGCAAAGGCGCTGACCAGTACCACTATCGATAAGAAAGCCGTATCCCTTATCTCAGTTGGCAGTTACCAGACACTCGGCAGCCAAGCCACTAGGAACAAATCAATCAATCAATTCAGAAGCGGACGAAGAAGATGATTGTCTATTTTTCACGCAACTGGACACAGCTGGTCCATCAACCTTCCAAACTTTGGGGAACCTCTCCACAGCTTCCGGCATAATCGCTGCGGCATCCAGGGAAGGGACTGCCACAGCACAGAAGGGCATCCGTCCACCATTCTACCTATTTTCTTCTTTTTCTTCGGTTCAAGAACAAATCACAGATGTATTGATCTGCGTGACGTACTAGCAACTGGCAATGCAGCTTCTGTTTAACTACGAGACACCGGAAGCGCGATGCTTTACCCCCACTAGTGCCGCTCAGGTGCCTGCCATCGCTTCGCCTTTACAGACTTTCTTCATTGGGTATGTACGCCTGCTGTGGGTTTGAACAGATTGTCTGTAAGGAAGGCGAAGTATTGGTTAGCGGGTAGTGAGACTGTTGTGCAAGCAATGTAGTACTCTATACGTTGTGTATATAGACTATCCAAGCGCCTCCAAACGTTCCTCCCTGCTGCTCTGACCGGCTGTCATCATCATATCTTCGCAGTCATCCTGATACTTTCCTTCGCTGTCGCGACTGTCGCCGTCGGAAGCCATGGTGAAAGCTTTCGTGATGAATTAGAGAGAGCAAGCCTGGGTTTTTGGCTAGCCTTAGGCGGGTAACATACCCTTTCCGATAGCAAGCTTAATGGATGGCCTCGAGCGTTTCCATGATACGGTGGAATGCTGGGAGACTACTAAGGGCGATCTAGTGACAGATCGCTTAACCAAAAAGAGTTCGGAAAGAGGGTGAGGGGACTGCAGCTGTTGCTGGTGAGTAAGGGCGTATGGTGTTCATGCGGCCGGCCAGCAACACTAGATCGTGACATTAGTACAGAAGACCAGTTCTCATCCGCACAAGCCAGATCTGAGCTGCAAAGCACTTCCTCCTGTGCAACGAGCATCCTGTTCACACACTTAGCAAAAGCCTTCTCAAAGATCCCAGACCAAGGCCACAGACAAACAGTCTATACCAACGTGACGGATATCTTTTTTCGTGTTGACTTCAACACTGCCAACGATTCAACGAAAATCGACTTCGTCAACCTTACGAGGACACAGGACTCTAGCGCAGTAGTATCTGCTTCGGCTCTGCCATGTTTGTGAGGTGGTTTTCCGTCCAGACGGCCAGATGTATATACACAGGGACTACGATTGCGTACGTTACTGATTGTCTCTACTGAGAGATATGGAAGGTTCGTACCAACATAATAAGGCCATCTGCGACTCGTGTCGCACTCGCCTACAGGAATCCCCTTGGGAAACCTCCCTGCAAACTCCTTAGCAACCCCCAGGTAAGGAGTGCCCTCTTCACCAGCACTTAGGACCACAATCGATATTCAAAGTGTTTAAACATAGATGCCCCCTTTTTTTGGAGGTGCCGATCCGCCGATTTGTGCTGTGCCATGTGATGCGTATGGGTTTTTTTGGACGGAAGGTAAAGGAGTATCTTATCTACAGGGGGCGTCGCTTGGACAACGCAAGGCGGAGGCGGTAGCTAAATAAAGCGAGGAAAAGGGCAGCAGACATGTGCTCATTAACAGAAGGAAAGTCGAATGTTGTCGAAGTACGTCAATTGATAGGATATCCCTGTTGTGGCTATTGCTCGTGGATCTGACTATTGTGTGTGGGAGAGTCCCCTCTTCCGCCGGACCCCCCTTTTGCCAGGTGCCAAGATGCACGTGCCATCGGATTTCGCGTATTTGGCTGGCGAAATCTGTCCGAGATATGTATCCATCATTTTCCTGGATTGCCCTACTTTCGCCGGGCGCGCAGCGAGCGCCCAACCCCCGTGTGAGCCGGCAAGTCGGCTGCTTTCGGGTCTCGTCGTCAAAAGACCGGATAAACGTGACTCTGCAAAACATTGGCTTTTGAGACTGGAGAGGCAAATTCTTGTTTCGATCGATCACTTTGAAATGCTCGGCATGCGCTTCTGTGATGACTTTCCTCGAGATCCCAGTTGGTCAGGACCAATCCTTCAGACGCCTCCTACACACGGCGGCCACAGCAGTGTTTGCCCCGACTTCCAACGCCACAAAGATGCGAGCGTCGTCGAACAGAGAATGTCCTGTGTTGACGCACACCATCAAACATCTTTGATTCAAATGCATCGACGCTGGCAAGAAGTAATAGTCAGCCATTGAAGACCGGTGAAGCTTTTTTTTCGGTCAGTTACAGCAACAATCGTCACTTGAAGCAGCAGCCAGTTGACTGCTGCAGCTGCAACTAGCGGTTGGTGCTGAACTGACTGACGACTGCATACAGCTGACGGCTACTGCACCAGTCAACTGACGGCTGTAAGCTGCTATTGCTGTTGTCAATCACAGGTAATTGTGACGAAAGCGGCAGCTTATTAGGTATATTTGGGAACCACGGGGGTCGCCGCTACAGTGATAATTTGTGTTTATGGCGGAGTTTGCCTTACAGAATGCTATACGATGTTTCCCGTTGTTTAAGCATCTCACTCATGTAAGGGTGTAGAGTTGTTTGTAAGGGCTGGCAGCTCCTATTAACACAACGCTCAAGTGGATGGCGATCTGCACAGCCTGGACGGGGAAACCAACGTAAAAAGAGTGTAATTTCTCATCAATTGTCAATGACCATATCTTTGCCAACCATGACAATCAGATTCATGAATATCATGCCAAATTCCCACAAAAAACCAGCAAATTCTCGCACGCATGAATGCATCACCTTCGCGACAAGTCCTACTGCGGCATGCTCATAGTCTCGTGCAAAGAAAAACCATCGCCTCTCTCTTTCATGTTTCTAGACAATCAAAATCATCAAAACACCGCCTCTTGCACCATTGAAATGCAGACTTACTCGAACTCAACTCGGTCAGGATCATAACCCAACCATAGCTCCATTACTCGCTCAAGCGTGATGTTGCTGTCGAAGGCTGGTATGTATGGACTATCGACGCTGGCAATCGCGAAAACTTCGGAGACGCTTTGGGGGCTTTTGACGACAGAATAATGAGTGTCCGGCGCCGGTAGAACATCCTGACCGGAATACTCAAGACACTCAATGTCGGCACTGGCTGGATGCTTTTGAACTTGAACGCTGATGTTTGGAACGGTCTCCAACTGTAACTCTGCATCCCGACAACCAAGACGACACGTCTCTTTGTGCCGCTTGTTGTTGGATGGATGGCATCGGACTCTTTTCCCGCAGGGCATACTGATCTTGGCGCGATGAGTGGCCATATGCCTGTTCAGGTTACCTCGCGTTGTGAAAGGTTCCCCCTCGCGCCTGCAGCCCTCTTCAGGGCACTTGTAGATTCGATTAGGGGTCGCCATGGTGTTTGAGGCATAGAAATGAGAATATGCTTGGGGTAGTGTCATCCTTGGAGTTGCGTTGAGGGTTGCGTTGAGGGTTGCGCGAGAGCTTGACCACGGAGAGCAGCCACTACAAATGAAGGGAATAACATGAGATATCCAGAAATACAGTAGGATACGGCCACTGGCAGGGTGTCAAAAATTGATCATTTTATTTTCTCGTTTGGCGCTCCTCATATTGTGTTGGCAGAAAAGTCAGTTTGGCCTAAAAATTATGGCCAGAAGTCGTCTTACTAGTGGAAAAGCGCTTACCGAACTTGCATAAACTTGACAAAAGCACGCGTTCTCGAGTACGAAGGTGTAACCGCGGTAGCAACACCCTCTAGAGTGCGACCTTTGTTTTCTCCCTTCTTCCCGTCAATTATCATTTCCATTTCTTGTTGAAGATTTCGCAACAAAAAACCAGAGAAAAAAGAAAAGGAAGTTGAAGTCAGGACTTCCTTTTTTTCCCCTGGCAGCTGTAACATCCTCCGGTGGACCGTTTCCTGCTCCTTGACAATGAAGAGGGCCTTTCAAGCGGAGGGGATTGAATCACCCGGAGAAAAGTGCCAAGGCAAGAACAAACCGCACGAACTTCCTGGGTTCAAACATCCCACGTCATTTCGACTCTGAAAGTGCTATGCGTGATGTTCGCTGTGTCTATTACTTACGCAGGGTGGCGGCCCGCCGTCAGCTGGGCCAACAGCGAGGATCTTGCAGCGGCTGCCTCCAAACCCACAGGAACGAGGGTTGGTCAATATTTCGAGTCACAACGGCCACGAGTGGTTTCCGCTGGCTTATATTCACCACACCTATGCTCTTTCTTGTTGACACATCAAAAGTGATCTCTTGTTGTCATGGTCTGCTCCTTTCTATCCGAACTTTCCATTAGAGGGCTTTAATGCATCATCAGTTTGTGTGACAGTCCACCAAACATGCGGGGCTGAAGGCTGACGTTAGGAAGATTAAGCTTAATTCCACCTCATTTCCAAGCAACCTATCGCACTCCTATCCTTCCCATATCTACCGCTATCTGAATATATGTCGCTCGTGGCCCTGGAAGCCCAATTTCCGGGGTACTCGAGCACGAACACAACCTGA